ATGTCCATAGCTGTAAAATGGTTATTTAATCTCCAGGTGCATATTTTTATGTTGGTAAAACACTTTACAGTACAGTATTTTATTGTTTATCTTTTAACTCTTTTAACTTATACATTTTTCTAAGATCAACATTTGTGTGACCATTTTTTTCTATAATCTTTTTGCTAATATCCTAAAAATATTAAAATTAAGAATCAAAGCCTCTTGAGCGAACTTTATTTTCTCCTTGTACAAGGGTGTATTGGCCCCTTTGTAATCTAATAAGTAGAGTTTTGATTAAAGTTAAATAGTAAAAAGTTAAATTTAGAATAAGGTTTGAGAAGGCAGAGAGCTTATTAAAGTGGGTGTTCATCTTAAGAGAATGTGAAGATGTAATAAGAACCCCCAATGACAACATAAAGATGAATTATGAAAAAAATAAAGGTATCCTAATCTGCGTATATAAGTGAGTAATATCAATATTACTCAATATTACTAGACTGTTGTATCACCGTATGCCATTCAGTCAGGCTCTGAATCATTTCTAATACAGATATATGGAGTGTTAATGGTGCTGTGATAATGAGGGAAAAAGAGGGAGTGTGAATAATCTCCATCTAATACAGTCATCTCCATTAAAGGATGTTATTTAGGTATTTTATTTTCTGTTTTTTTTCACAAATGATGATGCTTTACTCGCATTCAGCACAAAATGCCTTTATTAAGATTATTATTCTAATTTTATCATCAATTCTTGGGGAAAAAAGCTACTTTTGGATAATTATTTCTATTATAGAAATTTCTTAATTGGCTGTTCAGTGGATTTTTCTTGGATATTTCCTGTTGCAGCAATTGTGCGTCTCAACTTGGAGATATTTGTCGAAACACAATCTGTATTTTTGGAGAAGACAAAAAAAATATATAATTGCTCACTATTTAGCGTGACCAGTTCAGTAATAATCATTATTACGTTCTAAGTCATTGATTGCATTTAATTTTTTAAAATGGTGATTGTAAACCCAAACTTTTGCTCACTTTTTCGGAAGATTTTTCTTTCTTGTTTTTATATTCAGATTTTCCCTTTAAGCATTGAACGAATTTATAAATTGATTTCTCAGAGGTTTAGTTTAGTTCAATAACAGCAAAAAGCCTGATTATTTTCATTTTACTTTTAGTTTAATCCTGATCACTCAATGAAGAACATGAACAGATCAGCCACATAGTCCTTTAAGAATAATGTTATCCTGCATCAAACCTGTAAGCAAATAATGCTTGCAGTATTTTGCATATTTATGCAAAATACCTGCATAGGTGTGAAGTCTCCATAGATGCATGTAAGTTGTTTTGCAAATAAAACAGAGTAATGTTTTTTTTTTTTTGGTTAATGTGCAAGTGTTGAGCTTAAACACTTTGTGAGGGATTAAAGAACCGTAGAGAAGTAAAAAGGTTTATACTGCAAATCAAACTATTTACAGTTCATTTTAATTTACAGAATTGCTGCTCAGTTTTATAGCCACACTTTTCAATGTGACAGGAACAATGGACATGAATTAAACTGTGCTGAGAAAACACTTCAAACAGCCAAGGATGTGGTTTAAATTCTTTCTGTGCTCCAAACCTCTGAGATTTACATGGCTCACAGAGGAGTTAACCAGGTCAGCAGCTGCACGTGTCTGAGGGTTTTCGATATGCAAGGACTTCAGTTTGTCCTGAACACAGTAATCTATTTCTACATGCATTGGAGAGGATTTTAAATTTAGGAATGTTGATCCAGCTTCAAGTTGTCATGCTGATGAATCGATCCGTCTCACAGCCTAAAATAAGAATCAATAAGAAGAGGGAACACTCCACTGAGCTATCTCCATTTCACTTAAAACATGCAAAAATGCTTATAAGCATCACTAAATCCTCTGAATCTAGAGTTAATTTAAACGCAACAAAAATTTCACCTTTTAAAAAAACATGGCAAAAGGGCTTTGTAACGAAAAAAAGAAAGAAAACCTTCAAAGATAATTTTACTGTGCAGCTTATGAGCCGCTATATGTTTGTGTTTCATCCAGCACACACACACACACACACAGTGTGGATGCAACCTGCCCAGTTTTTATTCATTGAGAGACCTTTAGAGATGATATACAGGAATCTTAATTTATAGCTCTGAACTTTACACTCAGTTCAGAACATCTTTCATCCTTTCTCTCACTGTTTGTTTTTCTGTCCATCCTCCCCAGATCATCACTGTCCGACCAGATTTATATTTTATTTAATTCCATTTTGTTTTCTGTTCAGGATCTGCCTTATTTGGTTTTTTGTTTGATCGGAGGATGACATTTAACATTAGCTCTAGATGTAATACATGGATTAAACAAATCAGATTTTTTCTCTCTCTAATGGTGCTGTAATTACTAGTTATTGGTTTTGTTAAACAACATTTTCTTTTGTAATTTGCATGTTCATGTGCACATTAATAATTCACAAAACTGTTTTGAAAAAGAAAAAATGGCAGCTGTCCTCTTTACAAATGCTTGAAGCGAATGTATTCAAGTATCTTTCCTGTATTCTTTATCAAAGCTAATTTAGCATAAATGTGGAAATAGGAGGAAAGCTGCACTCTTGCCTTTATTTTCACGCATTTCAAAGACATTCGATACCACAGTTTTCCCTCATTATGACAGCTAGATGTCTGACAAAGCTTGGGGGACATTATTCTTATATCAGAACTGATACGGGAGATAAATCACAATTTACAGCTTTTTTTTTTCATTTGAAAATCATCTTACAGTTAATGGGTTAGAGAGAAAAGGTGGAAGACTTGAAGCAAAAGTTACCTGTCCAGGAATTGAACCTGTGACAGCGGCGTGAAGGTTTCCATGAATCGCTTGCTCATCCCAGCTATACAGCCACATTTAGAGCTCAAATGTTTTATTGATCATTTAGATTTTTGTATTCTTTTGTTTTCATGTTTCCTATTTGAAGCTATAATTAAATATAATTATAAAATATCCTTTTTTTTCTTAATTTTTGGCTTTGCAAAACTTAACATGATGGACATTTATTAAAGAAAAACAATTTTACATGCCTCCTTTTTATAACACCAAAAAGTTGTTTGTTTGGCTAAGAATTTTATGGTTTAAAGAATTTAGTTTTAAGGCAGACACTTATGACAAAAAGAAAGTACAAACTTTAACTGTTATTTTTTATTTTATTTTGACTCATCACAAAGTGTTTTATCCAAGAGCTCCAAGCAACACACCGCAGATCCCATTATCTCATGCTGTATTGGGCAAAATGAAAACATGAATCAAACTAAGTGTACATAAAACGTGATGTCAGTTCAAGTATTAATAATAAAAGAAACCAATAGAGATGCAGTAACTAGAAGTAATAATAAATCCTAGTATATTCAAGTATAAAACATTCCGAACAGTGAAGTCCAAGAATGAAACCCTGAATTTGATAAGATGTACTTTTTTTAAATGTATTTATTTTCTGTGTCCATATAGCCACTTGAAATTGATTTCTACTAAAACATAATCCATGTCCCTCTTCATTATTTATCTACACAGCTCCTTACTGAATGCCAGTGCTGCTCGATATTAAAAAGATTGAATTATGTTTTTTTCCCCCAACAAATTTAATTCGATTCAGTTTATTTATATAGCTCCAAATCACAACACATGTCATCTCAAGGCACTTTACAGAGACGATTCAACCAGACCATATATTCAGATTGGTTCAGTTTTCTAACTAAGGAAAACCAGTTGATTGCATCGACTCATTGACTTGAAGGCGATCCCTCACACCAAGCATGCTTGTAGCGCAGGTGGAGAGGAAAAACCTTTTAACAGTAAGAAACCTCCAGCAGAATCAGGCTCAGTGTGAGCGGCCATTTGCAAAAATTAGGCGTTTTTAAACTTTTTTGTTGTGCAACTGCAAAGATATCATTGAGTTTGACTTCCAGTGAAACCTTTATTCTGATTTAGTAGAGAAAAGTGTCTGAATTTCCACAAGCAAAGCACTCGTTAAAACTAAGCCGTGTCTTGTTATTTTCATTTAAAGCCGATAATGAGGCATACATTTCTAATAGTATTCAAACTAAATCTGTTAAGATGTCAGTGCACAGGAGGAATTCATGCATGGCCAAGCTTTTATTACACACACACACACACACACACCAGTACAGATTTAAATGCTTGAACTTTATATTAGTGCGTGTCGCTGCAGCTCTACTCATCCATCAGCTAAACAGCATTCATACCTCCACACATTGTTGTTTCCTGTCAGGTTCATCTTACCTTTAATCATACCCGCCTCCTCCATCATGTCAGATATTTTCTCTAGTCCTGCACCTACAATATGCTGCCTCTTAGATTATTTCTCACCATTTTTGGGTCGCAAGGATGGGGGCTATTTTTAGTCTCTGGTAAATTACAAACACCCCATTTATTTTACAGCCTTACAGAGACACCATTTGAAAATATTAGTAATTTACAATGACTAAGTCCTTCACTTCTTTCCAGGCCTGCTTTGGCCAAAAATGTTCTCATGTCCCTTTTCAGCTGGACTTGACCTGCTGGGTAAGACATGGATGGTGGAAGGGCATATGAAATTTTAAATATAGTCTATGACTCCAGATGTTTGAAAAATATGTAAAACTGAAAATATTTGCCACCGTCAGATGGTTCTTGCATAAAAGGTTGAGTTAAATAAGTCTTCAGTTGCTGAACACCCACAGCTGTACCATTCTAGTGTGGAAGTAAAAAAATATGCTTTTTAAATCAACCTTTAGGCCTTTCTAACTCAGAGGTTGGTCATTTGCTCATTTGTGGGTTTGCAAAACCAAGTGATTGGTACAAATGTGACACTTTAGCAACAGAGGAGTTTTTTTTTTCTCATCTCTTGTTCTACTCCTCAAATCCCCCCCACCAACACTTCCTTTTCTTTACCCCCTGGCCTGTGCACGGGTTTGAAACGCTGCTAAGACTAACATTCGCCCCCCTTCCCTTGGTGTTTGCATGCAGTCATTGCATCCAGCAGATCCTGGAGGCGGTGCTTCACTGCCATCAAATGGGTGTGGTGCACCGGGACCTGAAGGTGAGTAGATGGGAACTGCTTTGCTGCCCCCTTCAGAGTTGTATATTTGTGTCTTCAGGATTCATTGTTGTGCTTTTTCTGTAGTTTTTTTTTCTGTTAGTAAAGAAATTTGTTTTTTGTTTGCAAAGTCTTACAAGTTATAGAGGGCTGTGGAACATCTCATTCGTTTCCATTTAGAATACCTCTTACATACTTACAGTTCAGACTGAATGTGATCCCTGGTTTTAAAACTTTAGAGCGATTTGGGTGAAAGTTTACCTGATCTTCTCCATCTTTCTTATTAACTTTTGGCCACCTTCCTTTTAAACATCATTTGTCAGTGTCTGGGAAGTTCAAGCATTCAGTAATTTCATGCATGCACTACAGGTTACGCTGGCTGACCAGTGCTCCTGCTATGTAAGCTTTTGGTAGCAGGATTTCTGTCACTGCACAGCTACTCCACATAATATTGGCTGAAAAAGTCTCTCCTCTTATCTCTGGGTCGCTAACTTGACTCAGAGAAGTTGTATTTTTTTCTCTATCCGGTTACCTGGTTGGCTCAGGTGGGCCAAATATGAAAATAATTTTTTCCCCATTAAATGGAAACAGAGTTCAGATTACTTTATGTTAGACTGTCATGTTGACCGACTGCTTGAACTAATCAGCAAATGAGGAACCCAAGAACCAAGAGCTACTTCTGTAAGGAATACTTTGTCAGATTGTCCACAGCCCTCAGTGCTCTTGAGGCGTCTTTGCTTAGATGCCTTTCTGCTTCTGCAAAACAAACATCAAATAAGAGTTGTGTCCAATTCAGTGTCTAAATCGTCTAGAAATCAGCCTTTTCCAGTCCTCTTTTTTTTTTTTTTTTTTTTTATGTCCTCCCTGCTGGTATTTCTGTATGCGTTTCGTCTGTCTGTTGCATCTTGTTTTGAATGATGCACTTTGTCAAGTAGACCTCTATGCAAATGTCAGTCCTGGCATTCCAGCAAAGGCGGTTGTGTTTATCAGAACTGTTGTAGGCAAAGGCTTTATTTAGCTTACGCACCTATCTTGTTTCACAGCTACGCAGCGAGGACTGTTTCTCGCAATAGGTCATAGTGTGATGACTGAGGACAGCCCGACTGACATGATCCCTCAAATTAGCAATAGACATGACAACAGAGTCGAGTTGTGTCTTTGTGCCAGCAAAACCAATCTCAATGCACAGACTGTACTGAAAAGGACTTAGTGTGCAGTGTATTGCAAAGTCTTCAGCCCTTTGAACATTTTTTTATTTTACTCCTCTTTGACAACAAAAAAACTTATGTTGAATTCAGTTGTGATGATATGTGATTAAAAACAATGGAAGGAAAATTAGATTTTAAGATATTATTTAATGAGTAAAACAAAAAGTGAATAGCTTTTTTTGTATTTGGCTCATTTTTAGTCTAAATATCATTAAATGAAATCCAGTGTAAAGAGTTCACTTGAAAAAGCTCTTAATAGTATTGATTTAATCTCAGTATATATCTGCAGCTTATGATAATTTTAGTAATTATGTGCTCATGAATTATGCTGACAATCGAGTAGCCTATAAGTACTATAAATACACTAAAAAAGAAAAACAATAATTACGTTCCTTTTTTAAAACGAAAAATCAACATTTTGTAATACAGTAAAAAACCATACAGTATCTTTCACTTTAACATCTTTACCAAAGGATGCATCTATCCTTACATCAATGTCACAAGCTCAGCCCTCTTTGCTTGACTTCATATCAATCTGGTGCCGGCTGTCTCTGCAGTGAAAAAGGTCACAAACAAAAAAGTTCAAAAGCCACAATAAGATAAAACGAGAATTGCTTTTTTTATCATTTAAATTTTCTAAAAAAATTTCATGAAGGATGACGGCTTTTGCAACGTACTGTAGGTTAAATGTACTTTTATATATTTTGTACAAAATATATAAAAGTTTAAACGAATATAAAGAGAAACTATAAATTAGATATTTTCTTTCTGTTTTGAAATATATTTAAAACCAAATCAAAGGTGACTGATAATTAAGGCAAACTAATTTCTTAAAGAGACAAGGTTCTTACTCTGCAAACTGTTTATGAGAAAGCAGCTACTTTATTTAACCTTGAATATCTGCTACTTGTCCAAAGCAAATCCAGATCTTTTAAAGACAAATAAATAGAAAAGGAAGAGTGAAAATCTGGGAAGCACTCCAAATCACCCACTCATGACCTGCTCTCAAATGCAGCTTTTTCCATCATCTGTAACCTCCCCTCCCTGCCCTCCTGCCAGCTGCTAGTCTTCCCTGTGCTCGGCCACCTGCTCGGGTCCAAATGCGCGTCTGCCAAAAAGTAGCAGGAGAAACGGCAGCCCTCTTGTCACAAGCAAGAACGATGTTTATTGCTTCATGTCTAAATGTAAGCGCAGCTTTTTGATGGAAGCCATTGCTTCATCACCAATGCCACCCACATACGTTGTCAGGGATTATACTGCTGCTGTGGTGCTGGCACCTTCTAACTCTCTGGTTTACAAAAGAGGGCCTAACTAAGCGTTAGAGCCAGGAGAATATCATGACATGATGTGGGTGCGAAGCTAAAGGATTATCCCTCCTTTTACCTCATCTTTCGCACTGCCTTTTTTTATCATCTTGGCCTTGGTGCCGTAAAAAGTGTGCTTTTGGCTCACTGTGCTTTAAGTACAGGCAAACCTTCTGATTTGAGGACAGAAAACAATGAGGCCCTAGCAGAAGATGCAGATGGATGCTGGTGCAGTGTAAACAAGGCAGTTACAGAAATCCGGCCTGAATAAAATGTCTTGATTACTTCAATTCAGAAAGTTAGGATAAATGTCCTTTAAAGAACTGCAGTTGTTACCAGAAGAAATAGAAACAATCTTGGATAAATTAGCTCACTAGAGTTGTACTTGCTCTTTTAAAGACGAATAATCTTCCCTCCCTGTGCTAAGGATGCAAACCATTTAACATTTACCTCCCTTCAACATGTTGCTTTCAAGTTAGGTTTGGTTTTTTTTAGCTTTCTAGCTGTCAACTGAAATATTTAAGTCTTACCAATGCAGTAGTCACTTTGATAGCCAATCTGACGTAATATGTAGGTAATCATGTTAGCAATCCTGGTGATTATCCAGCATCAAGAATATTGGATGAAATGATAGCCCTGGATCATATTTGATGTTAATATTTCCCAGAGGAAGCTTTTATGCTGAAGTCGGAGCTGCCTTTTACCTTTGCAGAGGCAATGATTAAGTGAGACAAAGAGGAGGAAAGTGTGAAGAGCAGAGACCATTGGGGATAGATGCCCATTATTAGATCTCTCCTCTGACAAAGAATAACGAGGCTAGCTGCATTATCTAGGCCACAGAGATGAAGCTTACTGAGCCTCGTCGCATGAGACAAGGAGATAGAAGCGCTGCTGACTTATTGGGTTGAGCTCTGCTGTAATGTGGACTAACTTTTACTGTAACTCCCATCTATGTCCATGCATGATAAAAAAAAAAAATATTGTGAGAAGTATACCTGGCCCTAATAGGGGTATTTTAATTTTGCATGCTTTACTGTCTGCTTCTAGCATTAACCCCATGAGGACTCATTTTTTTTTAATAAAAAACCTTGTAAGTCCTTTGTTAACCTCTCGCCCTCCTTTTCTTCCCCTCAGCCAGAAAACCTGCTCCTTGCAAGCAAGTGTAAGAATGCTGCCGTGAAGCTTGCTGACTTTGGCCTGGCCATTGAGGTGCAAGGGGATCAGCAGGCCTGGTTTGGTAGGTACCATAGGGACAGTCCATAACTTTGGATTATACTTTTCATTAGAAAAAAGGGTATTAATGTAATAAACTACTCTGTAATGTTTTGGGTATCCTCGAGGGATGAAAATGTCTGATTTTTAGAGTTGAGCAGGTGTTTTTTTCAGACCACCCTTAAAAAATGTTGGGGTTTCATGTTGGAGGACATAATAAAAATGGTTTTGCCACCAGAATATATATCTACAATTAACATAATACATGCAAAAACATACAGTAATAGTCATCTTGTTCTTCCATACTATTAGATATAAACAAGTATTAAACGAGGAAAACTGAGCACACCCTTATTACCTCATAGGATTTTAAAAGAAAAGCTTCAGCCAGTTGCTGTTAATTTAATGCACTCAACTAAATGAACATTGCCTTTTTAAAATCAGGTGTTTGGGCCTTAACTGCTCTGGATCCAACAGATGGATGGTGACACAATGCCAGGGTTAAAATCAGCAAGCAATTATTTTAGATAAGAAACTGCTATTTGAGAAGTTTAACTAAGAAGGCTTTCTCTGAAATAGAGCAAACTTGTTTTTTTTTTTTTTTTGGTTCTTTTTTGGAGTCTAATCTGACTGAGTCACAGAACTCAGAGAAGCCAAATGTAGATATGTAACCAGAACTTGGAGACCAAAGCCAAATACAACATGTTAGATCTTATAGCATCTGGTGGTTTGAGGTAAACGTGAAGGAATCTTTCTCTTCCGGGGCTCCAGCTGTATCCTTACCTTTTACTATCTTCTTAGGCAGGGTTGGGCAATTCCAGTTCCTGAGGGCCAATATCCTGCAACGTTTTGACGTACTTTTGGTTTAACACACCTGAATCAAGTAATTATATAATTGAGAGGACTCTGGAGGAACTGAATGAATACCAAGGAGACAAAAGACACACCTGAATCAGATGTGTTGGACGAAGGGTGAATCTAAAAATTGCAGGATATTGTGCCTCAGAAACTGGAATTGCCCACCCCTGCTCTTAGGCCTTGCAAGATATCTAGCGTCACTAGTTCAGGTGTATAAATGGACTTCAGCCTAAAACTTGACTGGTGCGTAAACACTGCATTGAAGTTCTTTCTTATTTAAAACTTTTAAGATGTCACCTAGATTAATGCTTTTATCACCTTACGCCTGGATTATCATAACTTTCTTTTGATAGAGGATAACCGGGCCTTCTCATTATGTGTGCAGTTGGTTTAAAATGCTGCTGCAGGATTTTTTTTTTTTTTAACTAACGAAGTTAACAAGAGCATATAACTCTGGCTTAAGCGTCCCTTTGCTAGCTTCCCAGATATTTTCCAGTCTATGGTCTTGCCTCTTCTTTGCTGCTTTACTCTGCATGTTGCATGCTCATAGACTGGCTAAAAGGATGCTTTAGGCTGTCCCGAAGCCATTTCTAAATCCAGAAAAGAGCTGCTTTGACAGTTTCTTGTTGCTGGAGATCATGCAGCTTCTACTGGGCTTTTTTTTTTTTTTTTTCAAACATATTTTAAAACACACTTTTTCTCATGTAAATCTCATCCTTTGAATGAGCACATAGGGTGGAAGGAATACTTCTCCTCCGCATCGAGACCTCCTAGTTGTCTGCTAGGTGTTCCAGGCATGTCCCACTGGGAGGAGGCCCAGGGGATGATCCTGGACATGCTGGAGGGGCTATGTCTCCCGGCTGGCCCAGGAGAGCCTCAGGCTTCCCTCAGACTGCTGCCTCCTCGACCTGGTCCAGTTTTAAGAGAAAGAGGATGGCAACAGTATATCTTCCTTTAAATGTAAAACCACAGTAGTTTACAATCAGTGTCTTGATATTTCACCCTCTCCATGTACAATTTAACATTTTCTTTAGCTCCCTTGTGTAGAACTGAGTTGAGTTCTACGTTATCTGTCTGGGATGGCTGCGGTTCAGTCTGTCTGTGAAAAGGAGGGACATTTAGTACAATACTTTAAGCTGATTGGGTGACGTGCCAGCTAGTACGCGCCTTCCTTAATACGCTTTCAGCCAATCTTAGAAGCTGAGTAAGCTTATAAATCTTTTGTTGGAAGAAAAACACAGACTTGCACCAAGTGCTTCTCTCTGCTCCTTTGTTAAATGGGAAATTGACGCTATTTTAGCTAAAACCACGTCAATTGTAGTATCAACAGGTGAGTCCTCCAGCGTAGCCATGTTTGTCATGTCCGGGCAAGGCCCTCCTGACTGTCGACATTCCTACATATCCCGCCCAAAAAAAACACAGCTGGCAAGTGATTGGTCCGGCCCCCCTGGCAGTTACGAGACGCTTGGTTATTATTTCTTAGCTTTTTTATATGTATATGAATTTTTTCTGTCCGGAAGTTTTTGTACATCTGGTTGTTAACTGGGCCAATAAATAAACTAAGTTCCCAACCAACAATAAAACTTAAAGAAAAGAGTCTGTAGAAATGGCCGAATCAAATTCCAGAACCTAAACCCATGAGATGGTTGTGGTGCTGTCTTAAAACAGCTACACATCAATAAATATATAATGGAAGTAGGGGAGTGATATAGCTCTATGTTGCTTTACAAACATTAAGATCGTTAGATTTACTATATCTTCTGAGTAAAAGTGCTGGAGTGTCAGTCTATTGATTTTTTTTTCTCTGGGTTTAGATGTTTTTAACGATTAGGTGCTATAAATTGTTTGCTTTCGGTATCTTGATGTCAAAAGGCATTGAAAGCAATCAAACACTTTATTTTTTGTATTATCAAAAGAATGCCAAATTTCTTGTGTTTAAACAATAAAGTTATAAATAAAATAGCAAAGAATAAAATTGTTATAGGTAAAATTGTTTGTTTTTTGTAGACAATGTGAGCTAAAGTTTTTAAACAGGTCTTTGTGTTCCTCATACATCTTTTCAGTTTTAATTATTTAATTTAAGCAATGTCTACTATTAAATGATCAGGGTCAGATTTCTGTTCCTGGTACATCTGAGATAAATAAGTCGAAAAAGGTCAAAATGGTTTTTACTGTATTCTCTACTGCAAGACAGAACTAAAACAAGTCACAGTTCGGAACTTTAAAACCCAGAAGAACTAATTTCACAGTTTGGTCCATGTTAAAATGTTGGTAAATATTTCTCTGCATAGGATCCAAATGAAGCAGCCACATAATTTGCTGCATTCAGCATGTCAGTCAATCGCGGATGTGTTTTTGCTGCAGGCTTTGCAGGAACACCGGGATACCTGTCCCCTGAGGTATTGAGGAAGGAGGCATATGGCAAACCTGTGGACATCTGGGCCTGCGGTGAGTTTAGAGAAATGCTTTCATTGAAGCACATATGGTATTTCCTAAGTGTTCCTACACCAAACAGAAGGTTGAACTGATATTGTGTTTTTTTTGTGTTTGTTTTTTTTTTTTGTGTTTTTGCATGTGCTTGTGACTCAGGGGTGATCCTCTACATCCTGCTGGTGGGTTACCCTCCTTTCTGGGATGAGGACCAGCACAAGCTGTACCAACAGATCAAGGCTGGGGCTTATGATGTGAGTCTCTGCTCCTTTTCCCTTCTGCTCTTTATAATTGCTCCCCTCCTTCCATCTTGATGCCCTCCCTGCTCTTCCCGCTGCCCTCTCATCCCCTCTGGCAGCTCTTACATAACCGAGAAGCCTCATTAATATTTGAGGGGGTGCAAGAGAGCAGGTTTCACCATAGATCACATTAAACTTCAAGCCAAATAAAGAAGAGACAACCTGACGGACTCTCTGGCTGTGATTCTGAGCTCATGGGACACAGACCTTACTGTTTATGCTGAAACACAACATGACCTGATGGGTTAAGGGGTTCTGAACAACTTGCTGGAGGCTCTGCTTGGACTGGCCTTTTGGCTTCAATAAACAATCCACCCCAAGGGAGCTGCTATGGCTTTTATGTAGAAATCCCTTGTACTGCTGCATGTGGTGTTGAGATCTGCTACCAGAACATGTTTCTAATACACTAGCTTTCAATTCTGTTGGGACTGGCCAATAAGAATACAGGCCGATCCACGACAAATGTTTCACATTAAGAGAAAAATCCTGAGTAGAGAGCAAAGACAGGTTTAAGCCGGGCGTGCACTGTACGATTTATTTATTTATTTTTTTTTTTCAATCCTTGCACTCAGTACGACGAAATCCTGCGGTTTCGTCGTACAGTGTGAGTTCACAGTGCGGCCTGCTTACACTGTACATCTATAAACCACATCAGACTTGGCTCCACAGTGAGATGTTGCTACTCAGACTCGTTTATCATTAGCCAAAGAGTAGAAGAGGAATATGAAATTCACTAGAGTGAACCGTGCTGCCTTGGCAATTTGTGCAATCTTGTGGCAGAAAGCCCTAAGAACAAAAGGGGGCAATTTTGGACAAAGAAATGGCTGAGCAAATGTGGCTACTACGGTCTGTCATTTTTACAGAAAGAACTCCATTTCACAAGGGGCTAAAAATTGCACATTGTAAACCCGGCTTTAGTGAGAGATGGAAGGAAAAAGTTGAGAGAGAAATCTATTTTTGAAAAAAAACTTCAAACTCTGGTTGCAAAAAATATATATATTTGAGAGTAAAGATATATTTCTGAGATGAAGCTTTTTCCCTTGAAAATCATTTTCCGATGTCAATTTATCTTTTATATACTATAAGACAATATATGTTTTCTCAAAACTTTTTGTTCTGTCTTAAATAACATCAGTTCTTGTTTATTTTACAATTTTACTTTCTACATTATTTTATCCTTTCGTAATGCTTTTTTTTTCTTTCTTGAAGGTAATAAAAAGCCCCAAAAAGCCCCACATGCAATGAGCTACAGAGCCTTCAAAAGACTGGGGACGTTTGGGAATTTTTTCCGATTTTCTTTTTCGTTCCTCAGTGAAAACATTTTATGTTGTTGCCCAACAGAACCGGCGCCAAGGTTGAGCCTTGATTTAGCAATAGACCCAGTTTGGTGAAATTCCCAGCAGTTTAATGGTTATAACAGAGATTCCCTTTGGGTTTGTATGTGTTTGATTGGAAAAAAGTTCTTCCAGTTTTTTACTGAGGTAATAAACTTATTACCTTCAAATGTATACTTACAGTGTGAGCCTATTTGGACACAAACGATAATCAACATTTGCACTACAGGATATCCTTATTGATATATCTTGTTCTGTGTTGTAGTTTCCATCCCCAGAGTGGGACACAGTCACTCCAGAGGCAAAAAACCTGATCAACCAGATGCTTACAATCAATCCAGCCAAGAGGATCACTGCCCAGGAGGCCCTTAAGCACCCATGGGTCTGCGTAAGTGGCCTCGTCTTTGCTGCACGGCTAAGCACAAGCTTACAAATCACAAGACTAAGTTTTAACATTTGTTTATCATGTTCTCTGCCTTCTTGCTGTGTTTTCTCTTCCTAGCAACGATCCACAGTGGCATCTATGATGCACAGACAGGAGACTGTGGAGTGCCTGAAGAAATTCAATGCCAGGAGGAAACTCAAGGTCTGTTTGCATGCTTCAGTCTCCAACATATCTGCTCTAATAAGCTCTCATGTGATTCGAAACAAGAAAAAGGAAACTGTTCTCCTCTTGCCGTTCTTTTTAAGTTTTGACTATTTTTCAGTTGTTTTTTTTTATTAATCAAGTTGTTTTATAATGCTTATGCTGGTGAGGACTACACACATCACTACAATAAACAAAATATTTTCTTTTGTACGATGTATAATGAACATCTGCTATTAGATTGACTTTGAAGTTATAAAACTGTGAAAAGTGCAAAGTTGTGTTATATCTAAACTTTCCCCTTCATGCTGATTTATTGCTGACATTTTGTGTGGATATAACAGCTTAGCCGTTGGAGCGCGACACTGTTACCCTGCTGCTTTCGGCCTTTCTTGGCAGGGCTCAAATACCAGCTCATCAGAAGCTGGAAACAGAAGCGCAGGTGGCTGCAGGCAAATGTTTCACCATTCCACCAACATGCCATCAGCTACCACTGATACTCTCAGGCTTTTCACACATAAAGATAGACCCTTACAAGATTAGATTTCTTATAAAAAGAAGCAAGAATCTGAACAATTTCATAAGAAGAAGTTTGAAAGGGCTCAAAAGAGGGAAATGTTGGTGTTGAATGGGATCCAGTCTGGTTAAACCCCCAAATTGAAGATTTCTGATGCTCTCTTATATTAATAACATTTTATTAGAATAACTATTTTATATAGAAATTTTTATTTCAGTATGTATAAAAAAAATCTATTAAAATATCCAAACCCTTGTCTATGAGTCCATCCATCCATCCATCCATCCATCCATCCATCCATCCATCCATCCATCCATCCATCCATCCATCCATCCATCCATCCATCCATCCAGATGTCAGGGTTGTGGATGACATAATAAGAATCAATGCTTTTTTTTTGGTTCTTTTTTAAGAGCTTAAGTTTCATTAGAATTAGTCAAACATTTATTAACATAATTGTAGCTCAGTGCTGTTTTGATCCTGTTACAAATTTGTAAATAGAAGAATGAAAGGTTAGATTGTTTCTGGCATGCAATTGTTCTGTTTTTTTAGAAATGACTTACAAATAATTACCCACTTTTTCTGGTTGACACACATTTATGTTGCACATCACAAATTTTGCAGCTCAGCTGAACCTTTGGTGTTTTTTCTTTTCACTTCTTGTAGATTGATTGAATGTTAACTTTAAAATTGTTCATCAGGTACGTCACACTCTAAAACTGGGTTTGATTGCAAGCTGAGAGGATTTTCTTATAAGCATCTCTGCAAAAAACATCGATATTAAGAAGTACTACTTTTTCTTTTCCTCCCACAGTAAAATCCTTGGACATGTAAAAAAAAAAAAAACTCGTGTTTGTTTTAATTTGCTGATTGGTTAGCTGCACAGTGGACCTTCTTGTACAATTTTTTTTTTATTATTCTCATAAAGTAATTCTTAATATTTTTTTTACTTAGGGGGCGATTCTTACGACCATGCTGGTTTCTCGAAATTTTTCAGGTAAGAGCATTTTGGATTTATTTTATCTCCAGTTTTAACAACCTGACCTTTAAAGTAGCTCTAATCAATAACCAGGTTTCAATGTAACTAAGTTGACCCTTCAATGTCTATTATGTGTGATTGGCACATGCCATTATGATGGAAGAACATCATCTGACACCTGACTTAAAATGATGTAAAGTCTGGTTTCATGTTCTTCCTCATATGAGGGCATACCCAAGTTTAACACGGGTAACAACAGATCATTTTCTCCCTTAACATTAGTTTGAAGTTTAAAGAGCATGTTAAAAAAAGCATAATGCCATTATCATCTCATTGCAGCTCAATGTCAGTGTTCCCTTTGACTTTTACTGTACATTTATCTTTAACAACTTCAGCCTCCTTGGTACCAAGATAGGGTGCCTCTTATTTGTTCCACCAATTCGATAAACCTGCATCAAGATGAGTACATATTCGCATCCACTGACAGATGATGCTTTTTGACAATGAAAATGAGTCTGAAACAAACCTCCAAGTCGATGAAAAGAAAAAAAATCTTCACCTTAGGCTTTGAAATATACAACTAATGCTACTTTCACACCGCACGCAATAGAGGCAGCAGAAGCAGCTGGTTTACATGCAAAGTCAATGGTTGACGCGCATCAAAAGGTCCTGCTCATTCCGAGCTGCAGGAGCAGCACATCTTGACGCATCAAAGCTGCTAAAACAGCGCCTCATGCTCGTCTGAGGCGCATGGCGCGCTTAAGTAGCGGCAGCTGCTGGAGTTGGTAAAATATAACTTGCAGCTTAACACGGCACATTAACCAAGAAGAGAAGCTGATCTGTTAGCTGGCGGGGAGACAGACACAGCACTGCTGATGTAGATCACTATGATCGCTCCCCTGAAACAGTTTATTAATGCCTAAATTGACTTAAAATGTCGAAACCTGCCGGCAAAATATGCTTGCTTTTATTATGCTGGTGTGTGCAGTTTGGATTTGTCACCGCCGCTGTACAGGGGGTTTTTGTTCAGGTCCGACAGCGACATAATATTTGAAGGCAGGATCATAATCTTAATAAACTGACAGCACAGATTAAGTTTTCAGGGGGACTTTCTCACTTAAAACATATTAGAACTACTTTTTACCCACTTATAACAGCAGAAATAGCAATGCCGCTCTGCTATTGAATGCAGGAGCAGCAGAAGCATCAGGCACATCTGGACACATCTTACTGGATGCGCTTCAGGAGAGCCAGAGATGCACTTGAGGCGAGTCTGAAGCATCAACAATAAAGCAGCAGGCGCTTATTTGCTGCTTCTATCGTGTGCAACCTGAACTTAGCATTAGACCCCCTCCCTCACAGTTACAACTTCTGTACCAAATAGTGTTGCGCTCCATTTGCTGATTAGAAAAATATCAGATTTTGAAATTTCCACCTGGCTGGTAATCGTTTAGATTAAATGAATGCATCTGTAAGGCTTACTATCCAACGCTGAATGATGTCCAAGTATTTGGTTCTAATTTTGACACTTTTTCTAAACTTTCACAGTAAAACATTGGGAACACTGAATTTTGTTTAAAAGCTAAAGATGCAAAATGTCTTTGTTCTTGTCTTGGTATGTCTGTGTATTCTTGTTTTAGGTATACTTTTAAAGGTTCTACTCAGGGTTTTGAACCTGCACAGTAATAAAGTCAAACAGATTAAAGATCCCCTCCATACCATCTTTGAAACCTTCAGTTACTGACTTTTTCCGGTCAGAGTTTCCCTTCTTTTGTCTCTAATAATGATGACAGTAAAAATACGGTATATCCCCAAAAAATTAACAAGAATTTAACATAATGGAAAATGTTCTGCCTTGTTGTGGTCAGTGAAATAATGGTTGTTAGAGAGTAAAAAGTGGATGTTTTTCCATGAAATGAGATCTAGAAGGACCGACCATTTAAAACCATCAAACCAGCAGGAATCTTGATAAAAAGTTTAAAAAATGTACTCCTCCCTGGTGCAAACTGCTCTGGAACGTTCCTGCTAATGTTTGATTGTCATTTAAAATGAGTCATTAAAGGTCTGTGTCTGTGTGGTATGTGTGTTCTGTGTGCGCGTCCATGTGCCGATGCTGACACGCTGCTTCAGTAAACATGATTCACAGTGGGCTTTCTGACTCTGTAAGCTGCCCAGTTGGAAACCGTCTAAGGATCCACTTTATAACCACTCTGCCGACTCCTACAGTCACACACACACACTGACCCAGGTGTATATCCTCACTCAACACCTCTTCTCGCTCTTTTTCGTCTTTATAGGAACTGGTACTCCATTATAAGTGTGAGGCCATCAGGTGGATGAGTCAGAGAAGGAGAAAGAACTCCAAACTTTTTAAAAAGCATCTGAGCCAGCATAGGGAAAGGACTTGCTGCACATTAAATCACAGAAAATGTCAGCGGAAATACTTTTTTTTTCCCTCTGTATTTTCAGCAACGTTTCTGAGTCATGCATTATACAATGAGGCTGTACAAACAGAGGAGATGCTATTTATTTTCCTCATGTTGATGTAATAGGACTCTACCAATACCATAAAAAGTTTTTACAAAGATATCTAAATCAAATTATTAACCTTGAAAATTAAATGCAGCCCACGTTCATTCATTCATTCATTCATTAAATAAAAAACGGCAGTTTCTAAAGTCAGTAAGCACTAACAAAAATAAACATAAAGCTTAATTCTGCATTATAATCATCATACTAACAATAAGGCTTTTACTAAGAAAACATGCAGCAGTGTTAAACTTCAAACAGTACCTCTACTTGGCGTTGTTTCCTCCTGACTCTTCTGCCTGATCCGTGGATTCGTGTATTTAACAAATGTCACTGGTCACACTGAAGTTTTCATTCACAAGAGACATATACGCTTTGATATGTTTTTTTTATCGTCTATTTTAGTTGTTCCTTTTTAATTGATGGATGATTGTGAAACATGCAAAACAATACATTTCAAATAATGCATTTTAGTGTCAAATTCTGATTATGGATTTTCTCTAATCCATCTGAGCCACTTAAATCTGAAATCTGGAACATTTAGGAGCAACCAGCTTCAATAGCTATGCTAACGTGCACAAAATTTCACAATCTGACTCAAAAGCAAAATATAATCAGATTGTTTTGTTATATGGCAATAAATAATTGTGATAAAACGGCCGATTGGACTGAAAATGTGTCATGTAAGGATGTTAGCTGAAATATTCGTACCAGAATTAGTATTAATCGGCATAAATCAATGTAATGCTGATCCTGCAGATTCTGATCAGGATTTTCTGAGTGGCATGTTTACATGAAACATTTCTAGTCTGATCGGCCGTCTGCCAGCACAGCTAGTGACAGAGATTGGTGTTGTGCAGGACGGCTAACTTTCTGAAGGAAAATGTCAGTTTTAAGACACTAAACTAGCTGTGTTGTTTTACTCACCATCTCCTGCTGCATAAATGAATCGGCACCAGGTTTTCTGAGATTAAAAGTTTAAATTCTGACTTACTGATCACAGTATGATTCAAATCAATTGATAAAAGGCCAAATTTAATGGAATTCCTTCCAGGCATGAAAAAGCCTAACTTGTATTATTAAGGAACCCCCCCAACCCTTCCCCTTGACCTCCTGCTGACCCACCCACCACCTCTTAAATATCGTGTCAACTTTTTCCTCATCTTTCACTCGTTAATCACCTCTTTAATCCTTTCCCGTTTAATGCTTAACTCTTTTTTTCTTCACGTGTTACTGGGTTTTTGGATTCTTAACAGTTGGCAGCAGGCAGACCACGGCTCCAGCCTCTGTGACCGCGGCTGCGGCAGCTGCGGCTGCAGCCGCCGGCACCACCGCAGGGCTGGTGGAACAAGGTAGCATGGTGGCTCTCCCAGGGCATGCCACCCCTCTCTGCTCCCTCTCTGTATACCTGGTTTTCTTTATCTCTCACCTCATCGTAAACTCCCTCTAACTCTTCTCATTTCTTTCCTCCCTTAGCATGGGAGATCAGAGCATGATGGCTGACCACACTGCTAACTACATCTGTCACCATATCATCGAAAGCAGGACTAGCTTAGTTTTCATCCAATTATTTAGCCTCAATTGTGTTTTTTCATCCCAGCTTTTTTCCTGCAACATTTTTAATCCGTAAGCATTACTTAAGTAAGAATAAATATGCTAAGCATAGGATTGGATGATAACATCCTTTAATTAAGTGTTCGATGCTGAACTCTTAAGAATCTTGAAAAAAAATGACTATATACGTATAAAGAAGTGAATTACCCAGAAGACATTATCTACATTAAATTAACCCATTGATGTGGATATTTCTTAATGGATGAAAATGATTGTTTTAGTTTTTGGGTGACTGTTTTATTTTTTGCATTAATATAATAGATTCGCAAAATTATGGATGAAAGCCTAGCTACAACTGTCAACACACGTCACTTCCTGTCAGAGATGTATAGTGTGGCTTTGGTGCCTATCACTGCTCTTTCATCATTGTTTCATCCCCCCCTTGCATACACAGAGCATGGCCCTGGTTCAGTCACACTGATTTTCTGTCCCTATGTTTCCTCTCCATCTCTTCCTGTCATCTCGTGTCTAATTCCCACCATTTCAAATCCATCATTTTTCCCATCATTGTAAAATCTCTCTGATTGTCATCTTCCTTACACCCGATTCTTCTCCATAAGCTCATCAGGTTCACTCCATGTTTCCATGTGCCCACCGTGTAACCCTCCATCTCACCTGGTCTCTTCACTCTTCTTTCCCTCTCTTTCTTTTCTCTGTCGAACGATGACACTGGAAAGTTCAACCCCTGCAACTTTAAAGGATGGAACTGCCTGAGAGCTGTCAGTGAATGCTGCATGGGGCTCTGGACTGGTGCATGCGCTGCTGCACTAAAGGGATCCTTGGTGCATGATGAACTCTGCAAATGACGCAAGACTGGGCATGCTCACATTGTCAAAATCCTTAGAACCCTGGTTTGATACTTCACTTTATCTAAGTTGTTCAATGACTACCGTCTGACCTGATTTATCGCAGTATAGATGCAGTTAATGGTGTAGATGTCAATGAATCTTCCAATGTTTCTTTTTCCAGGGTCATTTCTATATTAGCATCCCTACGTCAAACTGTTGGTAAATGTTGACAGAGTAAATGGTAATGTGATTGCAATGTATGTTACTCAAATTGGCCTAAATTTCTTTAAAGAGAAGCCCGTGGGACTAAAGGGGCAGAAGAAGAACATAGACTGAGAGCCAGATAACTTCAAGGGCAGGTCTTGTATTTTCTTTGGGACTGAATTAATGGCCCTGTCTGCAGTGGAAAAATATATATATCACAATTGTTCATGTAAAATTCACAGATTTAAAGGCAGAGGGCTTTTGGAACAAAAACAGTTTGATTTAATGTTGTTGCCAATTGTTTGTAGGTCTGTACGGTTTAATACAAAGACTGTGAGTCAGCCCAATGTACCGTATAACTATTACTCTTACCTTGTCCACATTGATATCAGTCTACTATAGTGCCTTGCAATATTATTCATATTCCTTGAACTTGTTTCACATATAGTCACAGACTTTGAATTATTTCATACACAAAGTAATTCATAATTTTAAAGGAATAAAAAAAATGTTTCTATGTTTTGGGGGTTTTTTGCAAAAGAAAAAAAGTGTGGGATTCATTTATATTCAGCGTTTCTTTCTTTTATTCTAATACCCCCAATGAAAACCAATGCCAACAATTGCAAATAGAATAAGAGGTCACCTGATTGGCAAATAAAGTCTGTCTGTGTGAAATTTAATTCCAGTATAAATCCAGTTTTTTTGAAGGCCTCAAAGGCTTCCTTGTTGTTTCTTTGAACTCCAAGAAATAAAGAAAACAGGTTAGTAAAAAAGTTTGCATAGTTTTTTTTTATGAAAAATTATACCCCATGATTTCATCATCCCACAGAGCACTGCTCAGTCATAATCTGTAAATGAGAAAGAAGCTATTATAATCCTAACAAGAAACTTAGACAAACTTTATTGTCATTTTGTATACATATAGTGTATACAAAACTAAATGTTGATGCATACAACATACAACAGTGAATGAGCAGCTTACAACAGTGAAATTACTATTTCCATTTCTAAAGTGCAGCAGTGAAGAATCAAGAATGTAAACAGTATAGGAGAATAGGAAACAAGTTAGAAATAATGGTGCAACAGGGCATTGATATGGAAAATATCAGTGCAGTGCAAGATAAATAAATATGGTGCAAAATGCAGTAGAACGTTATTTTGTGTTCTATTTAACGGGGTGAAAAAAAAAACAGGTTGGTAGTGCATTAATGATGTTGCAAGTGTGATGCAGAGTCTAGTGTACAGTTTCAGCAGTCTGATGTCAGCGGGGGAAAGCTGTTGCAGAATCTGTTGGTACTGCATCAAATGCTGCAAAGCCTCTTCCCAGAGGGCAGCAGGGAGAACAGTCCATGGTGGGGGTGTGAGGGATCACTGATAATGTTATCGGCTCTGGAGAAGCAGCACTAGGATGAATTGTCCTTAATGAAGGGAAGAGACAGCAAAGAACCAGGCAATCTGCATCATGCACTCCACAAATTAAGGTTTTTGTAGAGTGCATGGAAAAGGCCTTAGTAGTGATATAAAACATGGATCTGAGCTCCAGCTTGTTCCCGACTCATCTTCTTTGAAAAAAAAAAAAAAAAGTAATTTTCTTTCCTCTGAGCTCCTCTCTGTCGATGAAAACCACTTACACCGACTGTAATAACTCTCTGACATGATGGCCTGGCTGTCAGCTGAGGAGATGTAAGTGCTGGCTGTGTCCTTGTTTCGGTGGTCTACCGGGACCCCCGGTCTTCTCCGTGTCCCTTAGCTTCCACAGGGCTCCTATCAAATATTTATAGTGATCTGCCTCACCAGCTAACTGGAGGCCCTTTTCCGTTTTTGTACGTCATAGGCGTACAAAAGCAGTCCCCATCTAGTGGTATTTGAGCTGTTTTATGCAGGAGCTCAGTATGTGGTGTGCTTTAATGAGGAGGTATCTCAGGCAGCTTGTTCAGGCCTGTTGATGTGAATCCATGCCCATCCTTGCTCTGTTCCTGCAGTGATGCATCTTGCTGTTTTTAACAGATTCTTGTCGGTAAGAGCTTTGTTTTTAATCTGTTCTTCCTCTCTCCTCTCGCTTCATGTGTAATTTTTGGCAAGGTAAGGAGCGCCCCATGTTTCAACACCTCTGATTTCAAATAACCTCCTGTATATTTCTGGTTTTAAGGTTTCCTCAGCGCCCCTTTCTCCATGCTTGGAGTCTAAATGTGCATCTTTAATGTGTATAATGTCTGGAAGCTCAGTGACTGTTGCCTTCCCACCTCCCTTCTTACTTTTCCTCTCCTCTCTCATGTACTGTCCTCCTCTGACAAACCATCAGAGAATAAGACAGAATGAACTTGGCTCTTTGCTGACCTCGTTTTTTCTCCTTCAGAAACAGGCAGAGGAAGAACAGCACAATAATAGTGTGCATACATGCCACTTTCTCTTCTGTTTGGATTATATTTTGCTTATTTATTACTTCGAGCATGAAATACTTGATAAGTGAAGCAGATATGAAGAAGTGCTCAGGGTTACTGTATATATTTACTAGCTGTAGTTCTTTTTTTTTCTTTCTATGAGCTATACCTGCTTTCAAAAGTGTGACCATATCCTTGAGAGCCTGTCCCATAAAGATGCTAAGTAAATCCAAGCGTCTGTCTCTTTAAATGTATCTGCTTTTGGAACATATTTAGATGAAGAACGTTGAAAAAAAAGAAAATCAAGCAGAGAACAAGATGTTCAGAGAAAGAAGGGAAAGGAAAGGATAAAAAAGATGGGGAAAACGTGCCAGACTTCCAGAAATAGAGTTTTTACGTAACTGCCGGGATGCTGATGTGATTGCATCTGATTAGACTTGAAATTGCACTCAGCCACTTGAAAAGTACCAGCAAGCACCTCATCCATGGAAGTGAGGAAGACACAAGTGTGACACTTTAACCTCTCAGGTCTTGTTTCATTCTCTGAAATTTACTTCAGGTTACCTTAAATGTTATATTCTTGGCCTTGTGCAGGGCTGCCCAAGTCCAGACTTCGTCAGCTACCCACCTGCATTTCTAAGATGCATCTATTGTCCAACACACCTGAATCTAATTGATGAATTTCCTCACCAATGACTCAGCTGAAAATAGACCTAATAACGAGTCACTTAGTTGATTCAGGTGTGTTGGAGAAGAGATTTATTTAAAAGTTTCAGGATAGTAGCTCTCAAGGACTGGACCTTGGAAACAATGACTTTAACATCTAAATGCAGGGTGTGTAAAAACGGACGGTCGTCAATTACAAGTGGAAGTCTTCTATTTGGTTTTCTTCGACATCTGGAAATGAAATCTAAAACGGTCAAACTATCAAGCATTAACAAAGCCTGGATTTATGCATTTATACCCTAGACTGTAACAGTTCCTTTAATCTTCTAACATTAAATCAGTCGCCGAACCTGTCTGGCTCAGATTTCCAGCCCCTCTGGGGCACCATTTATTCAATGCATTTAGACATCCTTTAATCTGCTCTTGAGTACAACCTCTGCCAATAGCAGAAATACCTTGCAGAGGGTTGTCTGCTTCCTGTTTCCATTTGCTTTTGCAAGGGATTTTTTAGTATGAATATTTATCGGAGAGCCCCATTTAAAGTATTATTTACCTGCTCACCCCCTCCCTCATTACCTTTTATTAGAGAGCAGACTAAAAACTAATCCTCCTTAAGGCCCCACAGGCAGGGCTTATTGTCGGGTTTACATGGCTGCCGCTTGTGGTGGCCATCTTTGTTTCAGCTTTCCTCTACTCCTGAAGGGAACATCGGACTCTGCTTTAAAGCAATACATCAGATTACATCTTTATTTCACTGACAACAACTTTTCCTATTCACTTACGAAACAACATTGTAGCTTAAAAGTTGGCTTTAAAAAACCACAGACGAAGATTTCACCAATCCCAGTTCATCATTTGGAGCAAAAGACTAAATGAAACCCCTGACATCTTTAGCTTTGACAATAGAAGCAAAGAAGCCAACATCTACAGGCATTAATTGACTCCTTAATGAGACTCTAGATTAAGACTGTGTTGGGATTTGAAGGTAGGTGTAATATCTTACCTGAAAGGTGTCATTTTATGGTAAAAGAAGGCCCCAAATCAAAAGAAGCCTTTCTCTTTCTAACAAAGGCTACTGCTGCTTAATAACAGAAGAAAAGCTACCAATACAAAGTTGGGCAATACAAAGTCCATCCAACCAATATTTTTCTTTCTTGACTTGTGTTCAATGCATGATGCATAAGGTATACTCTAGCACTCTGCCAAATATTGAATCCAGTCCGTTTTTTTTTTTGCTATTGCACTATTAAACAAATTGATATTCCAATAAAAATGAACATTCAGTATATTGTGCAGCTCTACTTTTGATATCAATGAAGATTAGAATGTTAAAGATGATTGCTGTAAATGACAGGAGGAAAATACAGTTAAACTGAGTGTTCAACTTGTTTTGCTTTCTTTTGTCCCTGCAGCAGCAAAGACCTTGCTCAACAAAAAGGCTGATGTTAAGGTAAGACTTAATTGTGTTCCTCACACTTTTCAAAACCTCTTTCTCTTCTTTGTTGTCCTTGATCAACAGGCTGTCTCCTCTATCTACCTCTTTGCCTATTTTTCTCTTTTGGAACATTTATTTTGCTCAAAAACTGCTTTATTGTCTTGTGATAGTTGTTCACGTTTGTGCATCTAAACGAGTGCTTGTGAATTCCCAAGTCAGGCAGTTTTAAATAAATTGTTAATCTTTAAAAAAAACTCTGGTCTAGATACACATCTGTTGTCTCTGCTCCTGTATTAGCCTGAATGTTGCTTTTCTGCCCACAAGCTTCCAGTAGTAAGTTTGTCTAAAGGCCCCCTTTATTTTGATCCACCTTTATCTGGATCTTCTTTATTGAATATACCATCTGTTAGCCCTCCTCATTGCAAAGCTTCATCCCCCTCTCATTCCACCATCTTGGCTTCTTCCTCCTATTTTTTAGTTGCTTCCTTTTCCTCCTCACCCCATCTGGTCATTAACCCCACAGTCCCGCTCATTCTTAAATGAAGATCTCTCGCCATCCCACGCTCACGGAGATGCTTGGCAGTAACACATCCCACACACAGCTCCCATCGCTGCGCCTGCATGCATGATGTGAAGCATGGAACATACTGTTCATTTATGCGCTATAGTGCAATTTGTACAGGTATGTTCAGGTGTGTGTTTGTCACATACGTCCAGTTTGCCCATAAGAAACGTGAACATGTGGGTGTAGGCACGCCTCCACATGGTGAGTGTGTAAGCATGGGTGTCGGTGTAAGTGTGGGTGGGTATGAGAGAATGCTCCTTCCCTCCTTTTCCTCCAATGCTCGTTCGTTTCACCAGGGAATGTGACTCCGGTTCCAGGAATAGCTGCCAGTCTGGACCCTGGAAACTCAAACGACAGAAATAGACTTCCACTGCGGCGCACTCATCGCTTAGCAACAGACTCCCTACACACTCACCCCGAAGCATTTCTAAAGCCGTCCTCTTCATTTGCTAATGTCCCCGCTTTCTTTCCTTTCTAGTCTTGATTCTCCTTCCTTCCTTCCTTCCTTCTTCCTCGTTTCCTCATGTTATTGTGGCCTCCTCTTATCCTTTGCCACTCTCCTTTCTTGCTCCCTCCTGGCTCATTAATGTGTAAAGGCACCTGACGCTTCTCAGCTGTAGCACCTGTCCAGTGTATGCAGGCGCTTTCTCTTTGGCACTAGTTAGCCACCACCTTTAGGCTCCGTGGTGTAAACTAGCTCAGTTAAAGCTAAATCATTCATCATTTTAACCAGGGTCAATCTTTTATCCAAACAATATTTTTTTTATGAAATGACAAAAAAAGCTTCAGCTTATATCGAATATGAATAATTTTTAATTATAAAGTTTATGGTGCCATCTTCTTTCTTGTTGTTCCTACTGCTGTTAAGAGAGTGTTGCATTTTTGCTTTTGCCGCCTTGACTGGCAAACTTCCTCCCTTTTCCCTGATGTCTCTCCTTTCTTTTATTCTTTCTTGCACCAGCATTCTTTTGCTTTAACTTTAAAGTCAGACTCCTCTAAAGACGTTTCCTCTTCATGAATCCCATTTCCTTTTTTTGGGCAGAAGTTATGTTTTTGTTCTTCAGTCGGTATCATTGCTCATTTTATGTTCTCCCAACCTCTTCTTTTTATCTATCATCTTCACAACCATCAATAAATTCATCCCTTCAATTGCCTGAGGACAGAAACGCAAGTCCAGCTCGACTGTGCAGTACATGGTGAGCATGCCAGTTACTCATTTGAGCCATCACTCCTTTTTTGATCATACTTCTCCATCAACTTCCCTTTAATTTATCCACCTCTTTCTCCTTTGACAGCAGGTATTGGTGCTTTGCCAAAATTCTAGTTTAAAGTCTACCATTTAGTGAAATAGCTAATGTAGTTCTAAACAGTGCTTCTGAGTGGCAGCATGTTCCCTCTTTTGTAAGCAAATTGTCACAAAAGATAATTCTTTGGATGCACTTTGATCAGTTGACGGTTTAGGATTAACCCCCAACTAAACCCAATCATTGTTATTCCAAGATTTAAAGTTTTAAATCAAGACTTTAAAATACTGATTCAGAGATACTTAAAACATAAAAATGACGTACATAATAAGGACAGAACTACTATCTGAGACTTGGACTCAAAATCATACTTAAATGGTGCAAAGACTTTTGTATTACTATTGTAGAGACCCATGACTTGGCCTAGACTTGCACTTACAGTAGCAGCCATTCAAAATGGCCCTTCCCAGTCAAACGCCAGCCGAATGGCAGCCAATTCCAGCCACTGCAGTGACCCCCTCCTTCTCCTGGGCGTGCTTTTTTTTTTTACTTTGACTCCACCCTTTCACTAATTTACATGGAGAAGGTGCTTCTATTTAGATCTTAATCTCCACAAATCATGACCGAAAGAATAGTTTAGTTCAAAGATTAATGTTTAAAAAAGGAATTGTGGATGGAACAGACGGGGACCAGCCAAGGACCCATCAAGGAAAGTGGGGACATTTTGAATGGCTACTACTGTAAGGTTTTAGGCCCAGTTACTTTCTTAACATAAAAAGAATCGAGATTTGACTTGGATTCAAACTCTACAAACTTAACTCTGAACCAGAACCCGAGTCTTGTAAACAGTAGGCAAACTGTTAATGTATGTTGATGTTTTACTTTGTTTAAACTGAAATGTGTCTAATAAAGGAATATAAGAATAAAACAAACTTAACTTACCTTTAAAATTTTGTACACTTGCTTTTAAACAACTATTTTACTCGTTTAAGTAAACCACTTCCTGTTAGTTGTTCTACACATTAACCGTGCACCACATATTTTCATAAGTTGCCTCTAAACATATTTACATATATAATTGTATTTATAGTAAGTCATGTTATATTTAAAGCAGTTAATACTTATTATTGTTATTACTAAGACTAGGTGATGGCAATTTATAACTGTCTTTTCAAATGTTGACTGATATGTTGAGAGAAGAAAGAAATTTCCGCTGTTAAGTTGAATCCAAAACCACTTTCATCGCTTTTAGAACCTATTTCAGACCAACCCACAATTTGATATTGTCAGGCTTAAAGCTTGACTTGGACTTGTAAGAAAAAAATGACTGCAAGGATCTCTAGTGTATACAAGTAAGGGTGCACCGATTACAGGTTTCTGGCCGGTAACAAATTTTGACCGATACAGATTTTTTTTATAACTAACACTGTCAATTCTTATAAGATCACAAGATAGTTCAGTGTTATCTCACTGAAAAAAACATTAATCAGTGCTGAAACAACTGCTTTCAAGTAAAACCTAGAGTTGAAGACCTTTTCAATGGGTGGTTTTCTAACATTTACAGAGGTAGATCAGATTGGTGGAAAAAAATCCTCCGACCCCTCAAAAGAAAATCCAAGCCCCTCGATCAACTGACTGATTAAATCGATGCACAACTATACATGCACTTTTACATGCATACACGTGCTACAACTTCAGGAATAACATCTCTCTGTGTTAATAAACAATTTTGAGTCAAACAACATTTAAAACCAAGTAAGTACTTTTAGTAAATCTGAAAGGTGTTTTAGTCTCCAACTTGTCAGTCTCTCCTCTTTTCCATCTCCATAACTTTTCCACCACCTTCCCTTTCCCAGCAAACCAACCTTGGAAGGTGTCTGGATTTCATCCTTATCCCTCATCCTGTATACTTTAAACAACAATGTTTGCTACCTTCTCAATGAATCATACTGTGGTCTTGTTTGGAATATGAGAATAATGAATAAAGTAAATTTAGGAGGCTTTATATCATGAAGGAGGTCTTGGCCTACTGTCATGGTGGAAGCACTGCTGCTACTGGAGATGATCAACTTCCTCGCTCTTGGTTGACTTGAAAAGAAATCGTTCATCCTGTCTGGGTTGACAGATGAAGACGGGCTTGGATGATTGAATGTCTGTGTGAGAGGAGGACATGTTTGAGAATGGTTGGATTAGAGTTTACTGCATGTGATTTGTTTTGTTTTTATCTTGGCTGTTCAGTGTTTTTGTGTTGTTGTTTTTTTTTGCCTCTTTGACCTGCGCTCTCCTTCTATCCTCTCCTCTTCTACGTATGTTAGTTCAATGGTATATAAAGGCCATAATCTAGCACATTAACACAGGCACAATATTCTTTTTATCCCTCAATTTACATACTAGGACCACCTTGAAAGAACGCTTTTTTCCTGATTGTTCATAAAACTGCTCCTTCTTTTTTAAATCAAGTTGACGATTTTCTCTCCCTTTTCAAAAATCTTCACTCCCACATCACACAGTTCTTGGCATTAAGCAACCGGTGACCCCGTTTGACCTCACACCGATGAGTTGGGACTGCTGAGACGGAACAGATTTGCATGTTTAAGATTTTATGTAATGGGAGCCGACTTTCTAAAAGTGACTCACTTTGATGATTCACTTCCACTCCCAGTATTCTGCCCCACTTAGCAATTTCCAGTCGATGTTTTTTCCGAAAAGGTTTAATCTAGATTCGAAGCCAAACCGCTATGATCAGTCCGATCTCTAAAGGACTGGTGTTTGATGTGCCGTTTTCTAAACAGCATTTAATCTTTTGCTTTAAAAACAGATATTCAAGTCCAAAAAGCAAAAAGGGGGGGCATCATTGGTGGCCATGAGATGATCTCCTCCAGTACCACTCACCCCCACTATGTCACATCTTACAATAAACAGATGTGTTTTGACGAATAACATTAAAGATAATCTGCACTGTTTATCCCGGTAGCAGCCTCTTACTTTCTGGACTCCACACTGTATATGATATGCAGCTATTTTTATCTTGATATGCTTGTGAGGTCATTCACATATGATTATGTTCCAGTTCTTTATATGGACACTAGAAAATAAGCTTAAATAAACCTTTTAGAATAAATCTGATAACTGAAACGTACAACATCCTCCAATTTATTAGCACTTTTGGAAAATTAGTTTTTTAACCCTCTCAGGCTCAAATTAAGTTGTAGTTGCAGGAAAAATCTGATATTTGGAGAAAATGATGATATATGGGTAGGTAATATACAATTCAGACTTTGTTTTAGAGAGACCTTCACATGCAATGAATTCTGGGATGTTGCAGATTTTCAACAGTGGCCCGGAGTGGTAAATTAACACTGAAGACTGAATCTGATATGAACGTTAACTTTATTTGAATGTCTTAAACTAAATTTTAACAAAACAAAATTCGGAAAAAAAAATTTTTCTCTCGCAAAATTAGAGACAACTTTTTCACAAACGTTTTCTCCACCGACATCTCAAAACCTCTTGAGAAGGCAGTTTATGTTAAACTGTTACTCAAAATATAGGCAAACTAGTAGATAAAGCATGTAGCATCCATTGGTACATGTTTGGGCACACGTTGCAAATCCACAACATCGAAATCGAGATGCCTCGAAAAAACCAGAGGAGATAAAATCTACTAATTGGCATGTGTGATATCTATACACATTCATGATACATCTTATGTAGTATTGATTTCAAAATATTGGAATTTTTAGTGATACTTACATGAAATTGATGCTTAGAAAATCTGTTTCAGTGACACCAAGGACTCAGCCATGTTGAAAGTGAGTCAGCAGTGCTATCTGGTGAGCTGGAGAGAAACTGTTTGCTGCAAATGCACAACTAAGTCCTTCTGTTGTACTTCTGAGTAACAAAGGCTCTTAAAATATGGATGTGGAGTAATTAGCTTAGTGGAATTTAGCTGTTGCAAATCTGCAACATCTGCCTGGAGAGGGTTAAAGCCCAAATATTTTATGGCATCTGCTCAATCTCACATGAAAGGTGTAGACAAGTTCAACCTTTTATTTAGAGTTTCCAGGGGGAAAAAATCACATTGAGGATTATATGTATTATCAAAATCTGCAGACTTAAAAAGATCCTTAAAATTCACTCCAAGATAAATGTAACTAGGGCATATTTGAGTTAATGCAGTTTTTTATAGATAGGTCATGGTATGAAGGACCTTTGTCTAGTAATGGATCATTTGTGTTATAGATATTGGATTAAATAGCATTGTGCTGTTCCAGTTTTTCTGACTTATCTGTCTTCCAAGGAGCCCAAATTTATGCTAATCTATTTTAACTGGCTTGGTCACTTCTTTCCCAGGCTCTTTGTAGTTCTTCCTATAATCTGATTTCCAGCTCTGCTGCTTTTTCACTGGCTTTTACCATGCATTTTTTTTATTAACTAACATACCCACCAAATAAAAAACTATTTGGAAACACCAGCATACATGACTTTAAGCCTATAGAGAGACAGGTGCACAGTTTCATCCAGATGCATGTAAGAAAAAGCATGATGTTAAAGGACATAAGAAACATTTCATGTTGTCCTTTAACAGGTTTTTAGCAAGTAGCTCCTTTGTAATCCCTTTGATGAAGGTTAAATCAAGCTGTCTAGCTTTTTGTTTTGTATCTGTGGTATTTTTGCAAAGGTTCAGATAAATGAATTGGAACATTTGTGTCTTTATGAACGATTCCTGTAAGCAAAGAGCTTAAGGATCCAGTTTAAACTTATTCTTCTTATATACCATGGTGCATTTACCAAAGCCAATTATCAATGAAGTCATATATCCCAAATCTGCACCAAAAAAGTGCACTAAAGAACTGGTTGGTTATTAAAAACTTTTTGTTTAAAAGTTTGAAACAAACAGGAAAAAAATGACTTCCAAAATTCAATCCAGTCTCTTATTTACCTAAAAAAGAGGTGAAAAGGCAGCAGCTTTAAAAAAGCCTCAAAAAGTGAGATATTGATTAAGCTGAATATGAAGTATGTCTAATTCCCAAAAGCAGACTCCAAAATTTCTTGGAGTCTGTTCATACTACTGCAATGAACACACGCACACACCTGCATGGACAGACCCTCTTACTGTTGTTAACACTCTCTGTTGTGTCTCCTCCCTTTTCCTCTCATTTCCTGCACAGCCCCAGACAAACAGCACCAAAAACAGCATAGTCACCAGTCCCAAAGGAAACATCCCTTCACCTGCTCTGGTATTTACCTCCCTTCCTCCCTTCACTTGTGTGTTTGTGATATTTGTGCCTTAAAATCTCTGTGTCTTCCCCCCTACTGCTACTCGTTTGTGTTAACTTCTCTGTGCATCCGTCAGTCGTTGGTAATCTTTGGTGAGTTCTGTGTTGGCCACAGCCGCTGGTTAGGTTTTAAATCAGCAGGTAGTGTCAGGAGATATTTCCCTGTGACAGGTGGGGATGCTGTGTGACTTGCAGCCAGGTTGGTTCTGTGTCGGGATGACATTTGACCCGTCTTTGTTTCTAAAAAGAAGCGGACACCGACCGCCTGCAGGGACTGTCACTGTGATTTAGCTAATTCGTCTTTTTGGAGAACTGCTCCCCGGAGTGTGAGCCCAAAGGTTCATGCATTTCACTCTAATAACACCTCAGACGATCAGTTCTGTTGGCATCAAATTTGAAAGGTTGAAATGGGAGCATGTGTGTTTATATGCTTGGAGGAATATATAGAAGTGCAACAAAAACTTAGCTTTTTCTTTGAAGTTTCCAAAATGCTAATCATAAGCAACCATTTTCAACCCAAACCTAATCTCCCCTAATGGTCCGATCATCTAGCAGTTTAAGTATCCTAAAAAAGATCTTGAAAAGTAGAATAATATTAAGTCATGTATGTTATAAAAAAAATAAAATTAACTTTTCCATGAATCTCAATATTTGGTGGCAGACAGATTCTTTTACTGACTTAAGAGAGATTTCCATGGACAGAAACATGGTCATGTCAGGGAAAGTTTCTCCCTATAGTGTCCTGGGTAGGTCCCTGGCTTCTTCATGCTAAGATGGAGCCAAAGCAAAGCCTGAATCCAGAACTCACTTCCTTTGGACCCAAGATCAATGCACTGTTGTCTCTTTTAACAGCCAGTTCAAAACATATCTTTCTACATCTGCTTTATTTTCATGCATTATTGTCTTTGGGGAAGTACTTTTGGATTCTGTATCTTGAGAGGGAATAAATTGAGTTTTACTATTCAAAAGCAACGAAATCATATTTGGAGTCACAGCCATCTTAAATAGTAAGTTGTAGAAAAATAGATTTAGTAAAAACTCAAGCTATTGTAGTACTTTCCCTGGTATATTATTAATATAGCTTAAAAATGAACATTAGGAGGGAAACTTTAATCAGTTTTAATACAGACTTTTTACAACCTACATTTTTAGCATTTACTATCCCATGCCTGGTTATTATAGTTTTAAAAACCTATGAGAAAAAATATTTTCAGTTCCTTCTGACAGACTCTGGTTACTGGGATACATATTCTCAACTGCGCTACTTTATAGAGGGAGAATAAACAGGTTGAAATACAATTACTGTAGCTACAGCCAGGGATAATGTGTAATTTGAATAAAGAACAAACCTAAAAATATAAAGTGAAGAAGTTGCATTTTTTTTAATCTATGCTAGGAATAGTTGGTGAAGATCATCAGTCATCCTGGTTAGTCATTCCAAAAAGGTTAAAAAAACAAACTCCTTGACTCTTTGAAGAGTTTGAAGATGTTTCACTTCCCATCCTGGAATCTTTTTCAATTCGAAATGTCTGAAATAACGTTGAGTTGCTTTATACAGTAGCCCAACAAAGCCTTGTTTTTGCTTAGACAACATGCACATGTTGGTGTGATTTGGGAGAACTTAATTCTCCCCGTTCCAAAGGGGTGGACCCATTCCTCCGTTTCAATTTGCATGTTGTGTAAGCAAAAAATGCTTTGTTTGGCTACTGTATAAAGCAACTCAATGCTATTTCTGACATTTTAAAATTGAAATAGCTTCCTGGATGGGAAGCGAAACGTCTTCAAACTTGGAAACAAAGTTGTTGTTTTTTTCACCTTTTTGGAATGCTAGAACAAGCATTTGTTTTCTTTTTTCAAAACCACGCAAAAACTTTGTTTTCCTGAGTAATGTATGTCAGCATTTGGTTTTCATGTTTAGTTTTTTTCTATACCAATGTCAGATTAAATATTCATGTGAAACTGTCGGATTATAAATACAGCTTCCTTTAAAATGGAAATTATAAACATGCATCAATCAGTTTTCTTTGAAATGTTAAAAAGCAGTTTGCCTTGCCTGCCCTACAAGCCTGAGAGAACAGAATATTTTGCAAAATTAAGTTCTCGCAAATCACACCAAAAATTGTTTGCATTATAGATATGTATTAAAACTCTACTTATAGAAAAATCTTCTCTCTATACTTTTGAGATCTACCATACATCCTTTCCTCTGTATATTCACTCATACCCTGGGGCCACAGTTATAAATGGGTGTAAATGTAGCTGCAGATGCCACTCTCATGATCTCACTAACTGTGACATGTATCACAGCTGAGCATGTAATAATAATCTATTACACCTTCAACTCCATGGAGTAAAAAGCGACACGTGCAGCTAAATGAGCGTGCTTCTAAACCAGGCATGCCTACAGTGTGTTCCTCATGACTGAGGTTGTAAAGTTCACTTATGCACTCTTTGGCTCATGTGAAGAGTGGTTAATGGAAAATTTACATGTATGTGCTAAGGACCCTTTTTAATGTGCATTGAAGCTGTTTGTGGAACAGCCAGATTCAATGATCCTTGAAGGGAATCGAGGGTGGCTGGGATCCATTTTATGCTGCCATTAGTGTTTAATTTTTAGCTGTGCTAACTTATTCCTTACAGCCCATAAGCAGACTGCCTTCAATTCCATAACCATAATCATCTGACTTGTAAGCTGTTGTCTTAAATAAAGGAATTAGAAAATACAGGAATATCTTCAAACTAATTCTGGTTATTAACTCTCCAATCACACTAAAATATATCTGTTTAATTGAACCAAAGTGAAGTCAATGCTGCTCGCTTTCACCATCAGCAGTCACACCCACCTGATGTGCACACCCCAGGTGCTTTGTTCTCATACATCATCATCTGAGTTTCCTTCAGTGCCTGTTTCCCTAGGAGACAGTTGCCAAGGCAACAACGGGAGCATCAGAGAGATATAGAGAGACAGCTAATGATTGGTCATCACAGAGGTGTCACTTCCTGCAGGGAGAGAAGTGCTGTTGAGAATATGGAGCGTGCTGATGGGAACTGATTTACTGTATGTCAACTTGAGTTATCAGGGATCAGAGACTGCAGAAATATGAAGAGAAAGTGTTGCACTGGAGGTCACAAAAGTCAGAAACGGTGTTTGAAAGGTGCCATGGACAAAGCTCTGGATTCCAGTGTTAGATCATTACACAAAGATGCTAAATTATTGTTTATAAGGGTACAATGGGGTTCAAGTTGTAGCATCTTGTCTCAGTAAAGACACGACTCATTGAAGGGATGGTTTATCATCTCAGTCTATACTGGATCGTAGAAGAGCTTGACCTCTTTTTATCCTGAGAGTTCGTTCATGTTTTTGTGCAGGATTTGCCAACCATCAATCATAGTAAACTTTATGCATCATATATCAGCTGGCAGATTCTTCTGATTTTATTTATTTGCAATCCACATGATTCAGTGTTTGTGCTTCTGAGAGTATGTAGGGTACTTCAAAATCAGTCATGCACAGGTGGCTTGTCCAGAAATAAGATATTGCTCTCATACAGCAGAGTCAGGCTAAGTTTGGGTTTAAAAGAACACAGTTGGTGTGTTGTGAGGACATCTGCTTTCTTTTTTGGCATAGTTCTTCTTTGAGGGAAAGAATTTGTTTGATGTGTTAATTTTACACTATTTGGTTGGATACGTGTCACTGATCTTTGGTTGCTTGTCTGCAAGAAACTGAGCTGACTCCAAATTACAGTTTTCAGCTAATCCACCCACTCTGTCGCTTTGTTGGAGGGTTCTACCCCCATCTCTCCCATCAGTGTTTCCAAGCACTTTCTGTTCATCCAACATTCTTGTCTCTTCTTTTTTCTTTACTCTGTCCATTTCTTTCTGCATTTTACTTCAAATTCTGTTCTTTCTTTCTCTGTCACTTTTCCTCCATCTTCTTCCAACTTCCCCCCTATACTCTTCTAGGAACCTCAGACAACTGTCATCCATAATCCGGTGGACGGGACAAAGGTATTCTTCATTCCCACATCCCGTTCTTACCCCTCATCCCTTTCTCTCATTCTGCTCCTCTTCCTTTTCCTTCTATCCTTACTACATTTTCCCAACATCCATGTGAGAGTAACAATGCGTGGCGTGTGGTGTTGTATTCATGTGTTTGTGACATGTTGAACTCCTCAGATATCGTTTTAAGTAGGCTAACAAATGTGCGTTACCTCTGTATGTATATTTGTTACGAGCCAGTTTTTGAGGTCAACAGTTAAACGGCAGAAAGACCTGCTCTTGTAATCGCCTTTTTAAAGAAGTTCTGCTTATTCATTGTTTATAATAGACATGTTCCTTGCATACAGGTGCATAAAAATGTAATAGAATTAGATTAAAAGACGTATTTCTGTACTCCAGTTCAATGAGTGTTTATTTATATCATTATTACACACATGGTAATGTACAGTGGGTACAGAAAGTATTCAGACCCCTCTAAATTTTAAATTGTAGCCATTTGCTTAAATCAAAAAAGTTCATTTTATTTCTCATTAATGTACACTCAACACCCCATCTTGAGAAATTTATTAAAAATGAAAAAATAAAAACTGAAATATCAAATGGTCAGAAGTATTCAGACCCTTTGTTGTGACACTCTTATTTATCTCACATGCTGTCCTTTTCTTCTGATCCTCCTTGAGATGGATACGTTCCTGCATTGGGGTGTTTAATTAAACTGGTTGGACTTGATCAGGAAAGGCATACACCTGTCTATATAAGACCTTACAGCTCACATTGCATGTCGGAGGCACCTTAAAGCTGCTTGTGAGCTGCCATAATAGAAAAGAAAAGGAAGAAGAAGTGCATGTCAGAGCAAATGATAATCATGAGGACAAAGGAGCTGCCCAAGAAGCACAGAGATGGAATTGTGACAAAGCTCAGACCTGTCCAAGGTTATAAAAGGATTTCTGCAGCAGTCAATGTTCCTAAGAACACAGTGGGCTACATAGTCGTAAAATGGAAGAAGTTTGGGACGACCAGAACTCTTCTTAGACCTGGCCGTCCAGGACTAGGAAGAGTTCCTCTTTACTGTGTCCGAGCACAAATTTCTTAATTTTTTTTTTTTTTTTTCAGTCAAGATGGAACGCTGAGTGTGCATAAATAGGAAATAAAATGACCTTTGTGGGTTTCTTAAATGGCTGAAATGAAAGAAATGGTGAAAAATGTAATGGAGTCTGAATACTTTCCATACCAACTGTATCTAAAGTATTTATTTAACAAATTTTTTTGTTTTGTTTTGTTTGTTTTTTTTTGCTTAATGGCAAATAATTAGAACACTGAATGTCATCTCTCAGAAAATAACTGACTAATGAAAAAAAATTATTAAGAAAGGTTGTCTATATATGCTCTAAGTACTTAATCAGTGCGTTTTTGCATGTTTTATGCATCAGTATTCTCTGGCTGGAGATATTATTGAGCCAATGTTGCTATCACCCATATGTATCCTTGGCTCGGTTCTCTCTCATTTTCTTCTTGAATTTACCCCATAGCTTAATGGCCAATTTGATACCACACTTATTAAAACAGCTATTGTTACTAGACAGTGTAGGGAGTCACTGCTAGACTCTTGCTAGAAATTAAATCAGCATCTTCAAGCTCATCACATTTGGGACGAACAAGGCCGTCCAACATTTCCTGGTAGAAAGTTTGCCTGCCTTTGGATATAATAAACCTTATTGGATCAATACTATTCAAATAACATGACTCTCTAGTGTATATGCTCACCAACAGTAAAATCAACTTGTGTTCTCCTTCTGTCTCCACAGACATAATGGGGAAAATATACTGTTACAAAAACTTGAAATACTTCCCTCTGTGTTTGGAGAAAAGTAGATATAGATTAACTTTTAAAATCTAATTCTTTACCTTAAGTAACTTCTGGATAACGATTACACCAGTTCAGGTGGACCTGTTTTTATTTGGAACAAATATGGACTGATGTTTATTCTTTTATTTTTTGTAAATGTGGAGAAGAGCAGTTATTATTTATCAAATTGTAAACCTGCAGCTGCAAATAAAACAAAAAGTAACATAAAAAAGAACCTAAAACCTGATTGTGGAGGTGTTTGGTCGGTCTGATAGCTTTGCATAAGTTCATTATTGATTTGTAATCTGGAAATCTCAGTGCATCATGATTTAGAATAAGAGATATATTTTATACGTTTAGTCCCAATGCAACAGTTTCTACCAACAGAAATATTGTGTCCAAATGGATCCTAATTACAACATTTTGTGGCAAAATGTTCAGATGTCTTTGGTAAAGCTGCAGACAACAAAATATTCACCTTGGAGATCATAGAAAATATTTTTATCTGAAATTGATATTTCAAATAGTGATGTATTTTAAATTATACTCCAGTTTTGACTTTTTTATTTTTTTCTTCAGCATGAATTTATTTGTGAGAAATGGAATCTGGCAAATAAATTAGTTTGAAAAACATAAAAATAGTTCATTTAATCTTTGGTCTTTTTAATCACAGATTCCAATTAAAAGTTATTTGAAAATACTTTAAAAGAAAAATGGCTCATATATATCCTTTTCTCTAGAGTGCACTTTGGTCCATATTGTGTTCAGATTAGTCCAGTTCATTAGTCTAAAGTCAGATTACAGCTACAGCTTTCAGTCCAGTTATAATGCAGTCATATTCGGTTAATTAGATGATGCATCTTGGTTAAAAAGTCATCCATCAGAGGAAGAGGAGATGATTAGATCTAGTAGTTAAATTAGCAATTAGATATAACATTAAAGAGCAAAACCTTTACAGATTTTCTGATCTCTAAGCCTTTTTTTTATACCAACCAATTTTTCATTTCTGAAGTTGTTTAAAATGAAAGGGCTGGAATGCTGGTAAATAAGTTTGTAGATTTGTAGATCTGCTGATGTAAATAGTACAGATTTTTTGCATAGTATGTACTGGCAAATTTTGCATGAGTTTGCAGAAACAATTCTTTCCAACCAGGCATGATTGAGTTTTCTGGTGTGTTTTAACAAGCTTTTTTTTTTTAGATTTGTTATTAGTCGACAACAAATATATTCAATATATATTTAAACCCATATAATTTTACACCAATCTTGTTTCAGGTAGATCAACTCATTCAGTTGATCTTTGCAGTTCGGGACCTTTCAGACCAAAAGTATAGTTATATATTAATGTTATTATCAGTTCAACATCTCAGAATCCTAATACGCTAACTGATTAGATGGCTGATAAACTTTATTATAAATATGCATGTAAAAAAAAATGACAAAATGTGCAAAGATACAAAGAAAAGTGGGATCAGATATTAAGAGCTTATTAAATGTTAGTGTTCTCCCCCTCATATTAGGAACAGAAATGCAGTTCAACTTCCTCCTTGCTCTTTTCCTCTCTGCTTAGGTCACCAGCTGCTCTTTAAAGAGCTATAAAAAAGCACATTAGTGCTTTTGAAGCTGCTGTTGCACGTGTACACTCACTAATCAGGTCATCCAGTCTCTCTGCACCTCTCTACGTGCAGGGGAATTTAGACACAATTAATCTGCTAATTGAAAATCAGAAACTCCTCCTCTGGCGAAAGGAGTGACATAGAGGCAGACAGGTGGATAAATATATCTGAGCTGTGCTGCTCTGCCCAGGAATACGGTCGATCTTCCTGTAAAAGGCTTTTCTGCTTCTGTTTTGATTTTTTATTTTTTTGTTAAAGGTGGAAAAGGCTCCTCTGGTGAATGGTTTTAAAGTTCCTGAAAGAAAAAAAATGCTAAAAATCTAGATGTAAGCCTGAAGTGTTAAAGTTTAAAAGTCAGGCAGATTTAGTCTGACTGCTCAGTTTATCGATGGTTCTGACTAATGTGTGGTTTCTTGGGTTTCCACTAAAGGATTTCTCAATGATTTGTGTCTATGTGTAAAATGTTGTCAGATGTTGTTGTTTTTGGAAACATGATACAGCATGATAGGGTGTGCCCCCTACTGGCTGGTGTTCCGCCTGTGCTGATTTACCTTGTTTACCCCTCTCGTGATGTGCTTCTTCATCTGTTCCCTGCATAATCTGAATCCCCTGCTGTGCTAAAGCAAAACATGATTGTTTGGTTTGTTTCCATCTCCAGGAATCATCAGATAGCAGCAACACCACTGTGGAAGATGAGGATGTGAAAGGTAAGGCTACAAAGACACCAATCAGAAGAAATCTGTTTACTGCTGTTGAAAAACAATAAAACTGTAGGATATCTTTCAAGCCGTATTTGATGTCTCCATAAAGCAGTTTGTAAAGGCAGCCTCTTGTTTATCTGCAGGCTTAGGTAATGGATATCACATCAGACAGACTCAATGTTTTAAAACTGCAGAAGAAATAAGAAGAAAATGCTTTTGTTTTCTTGACTGGAAGCTATTTTTAGATTTACCCTTTCCTTAAGAAAAATAGGCTTTTGTTTCTGACACTTTTTGGTAAAGAAAGTCTCTGTGAAACTGGTTACTTGGTGATTACTTTCTCTGAAAATCTGTGGAGCCTTGAAACTATACTGTTTACCTTTTGCTGTGTTTTTATCTGAGCATCTTTTGTTTAGAACAATCTTCAGAGTTTTGAAAGATATCTGCAGACTTTACTGTTGGCGTCTAGATTACCCTCCATACATCTTCATCTGTACGTTCCTCCATTCATGTGTTTGTGAAGAATCCATTCATCATTCAGTCCGGCATCCATCCATACATGCACCTGTTTATTCACCTTCCATGTGTCACTCTACGTATCCATCCACCATTTATTCTTCACTCTAAATAACAAAACCTATCAAATTCAACAGAAAATGCAGGGGTAACAATTTGCACTCAATTTGTTTGAGTTACACATTTTAATTAGTCAATTTTATATCTTTACAATGAGTAAAACAAAGTCTACTCAACACTACAAATTCAATATTGTCAACGCAAACCCTCTGATTGGGGTCAAAGTCTCAATTGGGGTCTTCGTGTCAAACTGCACCACCATCTAAGATGCTTTCGTGACTTTTCAACAGTTTTTCACACTCTGTACCTCACATGGCTGCACAGTAAGTCTTAGATCATTCTGACTTTTTGAAACAGAAAACATAAGAAAACATAATTATGGTTTATAAACAGATAGACTTAAGGAACTTATTTTGAACATCACACTGTTTGCTTGTCACATGGTTTTAATGTTCTGAATGGTTTAGCAGAGAGTTACTTCCTTCCACATTCCAACATTTTGTTTATGTTGCATTTTCTACTCTTAAGAAAAGATTGGAATTACCCAGTATATTGTAATGAATTTGCTATTTAATATGTAAAGATTTTTATTCACTGATTTGCATCAATTGCATTTACCACCCGTTAAAAGGATTTCTTAGAGTTTGTATCCATCTATCTTCATCCTTTCACCATTCCATACATGCATCAAGGGCTGAAACAATTAATCAGATTAATCGATTATTGAAATGATCATCAACTAATTTAGTAATCAGTTAATCGTTAACTGGAGAATAGAGACTCTAAACCATGCTTTTAGCTGACAGAGCAACCAACTTAGAGTAGTAATTATATCAGGACTCTAAAAAAAATTGCATTTGAGATATAAAAAAATGGCTGTCAATATGCTCAACCCAGAACTCCTCAAGTGGAAAACGTTTTTATTTTCCCCTGGTTCAATTTCATAAAAAGTCTTCCTTAAGGAACCTTTGGCTATCTGATTAATAACCGATTATTTGGAAAAATAGCCGACAGATTAATCAATTTGCAAAATAATCGTTAGTTGCAGCCCGATATGCATCCACTTAGTGAAGTGTCGATTTTGTACCCATACTTTCATCCGTCTATCAAATCATTTGTCCCTCTACCCATTGTTTACTCCAAACATTTATCTGTGTTACTGTTCATTGCTCCATCCAGCTATTTGTCAACTGGTTTATCCATCCATTTGTTTGTCCTTTCATCATCCATCAACTAATTGGTCCAGTTTTGTCCTTCCTTTTTCTACTTTTGCAGTGTTTGTCCATTTTTGAAGCATTCAAAGTCTGCCTCTGGACTCACTAAGGGCTCAAATTATTTGATTTTTAGTCAACTGTGGATTTAAGCCTTTAGATATGGAGTGTATATTTTGTTAGAACCACTGATAAAGTCTATTGAGACTGAACCTTCCTGTTTATGTGCTGATTTTTAAATCAGGGGGACTACTTCTTCTTGAAAATACATTTTTTTATATGTTTTTTTTTTATTTATTTTTTCACAATAAGTATTTCCCTAATATTTTTTGCTCTGCTTTAAATCAGCTGAAAGCTAACATTTTACTGACCCCTGGTGGAGCCAGATTCCATTGCCTCATGATGCATTTTGACACCTGCTGTGAGAGTGGCGGTGCGCCTGAGAGCTGCGAGTGGAGGGTGTGAAATGTCTTGTACGGCAATATAGTGGCTCTTCTCGAACGTTTTCAGTTGAATCTATTATCCTGAGTTGTGTCCGTTGGAATATTTAGCTGGCACACATTTCAGCACATCCCTCCACACTGTTTCAAGCCTTTTTTATCCCCCTTTGAGAACGTGTCAAGTTTTCTGTCTTCTGGAAGGAGTTCAGCACAGTAAAAAGCCCCATTTTACCATCTTACCTGACTGCAATGTGTCTAAATGGGGTCATGAATGCTTTATTTCAGTGTCAAGCACAGAACAGAATGTGCACTTCCACCTCCTCTTCCTCTTTTTTTTAGAGGTTTTTGAATTCCCTAGCAACCACAGCTAAGAACGGCATGAAAGCTGAACTGGAGTTTGAAAAAAATAAATTCTATGAAGTTGAACAGAAGCAGAAGTGTATTAGTTTAGCAGCTTTTTTTTAATGCTGACATTCTGGGTGAAAGATGTCTGCTTAAAGTTACTGCACTGCTCAGTGTTTTTAAACACTAAAACTATTATTTCCTGGTAGTTTAGCAACCAAATGTAGCAAATGTAACACCTCATTTTAAGGTATTTCAAATTGTCCTTCTGCTTTATTTTTATATAAGATAAGCTGTAATAGACTAAAACATTAGTAATTGTTTACATTTTCTCAAATTATTCTTGTTTAAATGTAATCGGAAAAAAAACTCCCGCCATCTGTGAAACTTCACAAGGCTAACTTGGCCAGCTACACCACGTCTAAGCATCCCCAAAACATCACAAGGCATCAGAAGCCAACCTCATGCCAACATAACCAGCAAAAATCGTTAATCAAAAAATGTTTTAACTGTGCAGCCAATTTGGGACAACGGTGAAATCTTTAAAGCAAGGACAAAAATATCAGAAGAAGAGTTGACACATATCTGCTCCATTGCATTCACATTCTGCATGCTGTCTCACATACCAGATTAATCCTCAGTGCTATCAATACTTTTCGTGAATGTAGAATACAATGAAATGAGATAAAATAGAATAGACTAAGATCTATGTGAAAATTTATTTAATTATTCAACAGTGGGGAAATCAGGTGTACCAGCAAAGTAAAAGGTAAATGGAAACATTTGGTTAATCACAAAAGTAAAAAATAAATAAATAAAATTAAAATAAGGGAAGGTACGTTGAAGTATTCACTTTCCTTGTAGTCATATCAGATTATTAGTGTTGTATTGATAAATGAGGGGGTGAAATGAATAAAACAATTGCATTTATTAATTGAAAGCTGTCATTGTAGTGATCAACCATATGGCGCCCTTTGCCCTATTGGCTTCATGTTTCAGACACATTTTCTTTTTCTATATATGTGGAAAGCATAATATTAAAAGATCAAAAACATTTAAATGGAGAGGAACATTTTATTCAGTGGCTCTTTTGCCCACTGTACAGCACATGCTGTTGAATTGTTGAAATATTTTGTAGTCCTAAACGCCCAGCCCGATCCAAAAAGAATCCTACCACCACACCCCTGTGGGAAGCTTGGGCATGGCTGGAGCACCTTTTGGCAGGGGCTTAAAAGCTAAAAAAAAGGGGGCCGGCCACCTAAATTTAGCTTTGGTGGCAGGAAACAGAAATGAACTGCCCAGAGAGGTGGCATTGGGAACAAACACCGCTTCGCTAGCGCCACCCCTGGTAGGCATTTGTCTCACATGGCACTTTTATGGATCTTAAGAATTAAACAGGGTTGACAGAGCACAGAAAGCCGGAGAAGCAAGGTGAGTGTGGGAGGAGGGGGGCAGTCGTGTTTGTCTGGAACAGTTTGTGCCTTCTTGGTCTTTGTAGGGTCTTGTCAGGCTGGTGTTGGACAGCTGCTTTGTAATCCAACACCCACATTGGCTGTTGGAGGATGTGGACCTATACTGTACTCTTCTGCTTTTTGCAACAAATCTCTTTCAGCTTACTGGTTATTTTTTGAGGTATATTATTGAGTTTACCATTATTTGCTGGTTTGTTTAAGTCCTCTCTAAGCCAAGCTTTGTGCACATTGATGTTTCTGCTCACTGTTTTGTCTGATGTTAATCTTGCTCTTATGAGATTTTAGAGTGTGAATCTTTATGTGAAACTTTCGTACATGAAGTTTTGTTAATTAGCCTTGTGGGAACCAGCCAAACCCATCCCAACCTGTGTGTGGTTTATTTCCTTCTTTCTTTAAAACAAAGTCATGTACTTAAGACCCATTAAAACGCTGTAAACATATCAGTCCTACTCCTTCAACCTTCTTAGTTTATGACAACATTGCTATGAAGTTTTGTATCATCAATAAAAATTTTAAAAAGTGTTTATGGTGTAATGTAAACTTGTATGCACCTTTTCTAAGACAATTCTTCATAGTTTGTTGCAGTTGCAGCAACATGTCTTTGGGGTTTGTTTCTACGACTTTTGCATATCTGGAAACTTTTTTTTTGTCTAGATAGCTTCAGATAATGAGAAGGAGATCATCAGTTAACAGCAGTTTGCACGTCTTGCTAAAGATTCTCAATTGGATTTAGGTTTAATCTTTGACTAGAGCAGCATCCTGCAGCTCCAGTGACACATGTGGTTGTTTGGACCCCCTGCAACGTCTCTTAACATTGGCTAAAATTATATTAACAACAAACTAATGTCCTATAATAAGAAATACCAGTCATGGAGGCTATAGTTGGTTTTAAAAATAATATTTGAATTGAATTTTGACAACAGAATGTGAAACTTTTCATGTTTTTCCTTATTTTAAACAACCAAAACACAAATAAAATATTGATTGTTTGAAATCCGACAAATTTCCTTTGCCAGATATATATCTAAAAAAGTTTGTCTTTATTTAAAGTTCATGTAATATTTTTGGCTCTAACAACCTTTTCTTAGCCAGACTCGGGGTAAAATGGCGCTTTAATTTCTAAAGGTTGCAGACCCCTGGACCAGGGATTTCCAGCATGAATTACCTTTTATCTAGACTGGTGTTTCTCAACCTCTGTAAGCTGCCACACAACTGAAGGAATGCTTAACAGGCTTCAGCTGCACTCGATGGTTAAAGAGGAGGTCATGCAGTCAGATGTATTACAGCCAGTGGCATCTTAAACGTGCAGGGCTGTCTTCTTTTCCGTCTCCAGTGGTGTGTTGTATTTCCACATCTGTCTTGCATCTTCATTAGGTTTTCTTAAAGTTTTGCCTGGTTTTAAGATCCGCTCCTTCAAGTCTGACAAGTTTTCTCTCTTGAAGTCACCCTCTAAGGTCAGATTTTGTCATGTCAACAACTAATAATAATAATTTTTTCCACCTGAGCTACAGATCTGTTGAGCTACTCCAGAGTTAGGACGGCCCACTTGGCTGCTTCTCTGATTGATGCTTATCTTGTTCTTGACCTCATAGAGGTCGTTGCAGATCAGCCATGATTTAAACTGAGATTGATTTACATTTAGGTGGACTCCATTTCCATGAGGTGACATTTGAAGGCAAGATTATTGATTATTTGGCACTACCATACTAAATGAAAAACAAACAAAAAACGTGCTATATTTTTATTAAACATGTTTTCTTCTTCCATTTCACATTTACATACCACCTTGTCGTGTTCTGTCACATGAAAGTATAATATGCGTTCTAGTTTGTGGTCGTACCGAGACAAAAATCACTGCATTCCAGCTGATTAGACAGTCAAACAATAAGCCCTCGTTATTGCTGCCATCCCTGCTGTCGTCTTCGATCTTTTGCTCTCTGCTGAGAATCGCAGTAACACTCTACATGCAGCAGCCCTAGCTGTAAATCTGGCTGAAACTGAGTCATTAACTGAGATAATGATCTCTTTTGTGGCTTCAAATAAAGAGTTGCTTTAATTTCTCAGTTTGCACATTTTTACAAGTCCCCCTTGTGTCATCTTGCCACTCCTTTCATTATTTCACAATTCTGTTGTTTCTCTGGTGGAACATATCCATCTGGATTTAATTGTGTTTGGTCTCATTTGTGTGTGTGTGTGCATGTTGTCAGGAAAGAGCTTAGACAACAGCTCACTTAAGGCGCAGTCCAGCACAAGTTCCCAGCCTGATAGCACTCAGGGCTCCTCAGCAGCTGTGCACTGTAAGTCAGCATGGTCGGCCAATTTCAGCCTGTAACATGCAAACATCCATACATCCTACCAGAGGCTGGCAAATGTGTTCTTTTATTTTTGGAATTGTGTTTCCCATTTGGCCCTTGCATGTATTAAAACATTCATCTGCTGCTGTTGAGCAAAACTAAATCCTAGAGGCTCCCTGAGTTCTGCAGAGGGACGTCAGCTGCATCTTTATATTTGACTCATTTACTAACAGCATTGAGAATGGAATAGAAAAATAAAATGCTTCAAATTTCTTACATTTTCTGCAGTCAACCCTTCTTTTCAAAGAATATCTCTTTGGCTCCACCGTATGGATGTAAATAAAATAACATTAGTGCTCCTTAATTCTAGTTCAGTGTTACTGTTATTTTTCTGTACATTTTAAGGTAATAATAACTGCTCACAATGAGGAAGTTTGCCAATATTTTGGGTTACCATGGATGTTCCTCCCTTCCCAAACTCAGCTGCTGCGAAGTTCGCTGACCTGCTGGGCTCTGTGCGTAGGGGCTCAGGGCCCATTACCGACGGAGAAGGTAGATCCAGCACTCCGCCTCCCGCTGCCCTCTCTGCCCCCTCCCCTCCACACACCCCCGCTGTCCCAATGCAGAGTAAGTGGGCAGAAGCCAAACCAGACTCACCAGTAAATGACCTCTAAATGAGGGCTGTATTTAATCAGCTGGCATCTGCTTTTCCTCTGATACCGTGCCAAGATCCTGCATAATGAGAAGCTTGGACAGATTACTGAACAGGGTCATAAAGGGTGTAAAACATGGGAATCTAGGAAAGACAGTCCTGATATGTCCTATAAAAGGACAACAGACTCTGCAGCTGTGAAATTATTTTCTACAGCTTAAAAAGAAAATAACAAATTCCAAATAAAATGTAACAAATGCTACAGTGGTGCTCAATGCAGTTCTGAGAGGAAGAAACCTGGTCTAATTTGACAGTAGATGAAAAGAATAACTAAAGAATTATAGTTAAACCCAAAAAGGAGCAAAAAAAAAAACAAGAACTAAGTGGAAAAACACAGCTCTTTGATAAAAAAAAACAAGAAGAAATCCCAAAATATTAAAAAAGATGATCAACTCAGGATTAGTTACAGTAAGAGAAACATAAAAAAAAGATGAAAAAGGAACTTTAAATATCCTCATTTTGGATGTATTTCCCCTTTATATGAAATAAATGGGACTTTTATTACATCAGCTACATCCTGTTCATTTCGAAAGCAAAACAGAAAAAAAGCAACTGTTATTGATCATCTCGATCGTCAAAAAATGCTACAAAAAACGTATCGATATTAAAAAATGTTCTTCAGTTTACATGTGAAGTTTCTGCCTCTAAATGGCTCTCTAATCTCTTCATAAATGGCATTAAATTCATCTTTTTTTGTATTAAAAACAATATAAATATAGGACAAATAAATGCAAATTTCTTTTTAACCAATAATTAGTATTTGAAAGACTCATTGTTAGTAAATGAAGAATCAGTTTACAACAAAAACTAATTGGATATTTTATGATATAATAAAATCATAATGAAATCTGCCCATTGCTTCATTTCTCTCCTCTTTTTTACTGTTTTCCTCCAAATTTATTGTTTCTAATCTGTTTTATATTCATCCACCCTGGACCGCCCCCCCCTCAGTGTCTCGGCTCACAGACTTGGTTAGCAGTGTTCGCAGGGCGCCGCCGCCCGCTGCACCTGAAGGCGACATGGCTCCCAGCACCAAGCCAGCCCCTCCACCTTCACACACCACTCCTCCACCTCCCCCTCACCACCCCTCCAGTCCTTCCTTATCATCCTCCCAGAGTGAGTACTAAGCCCAACGCCACCCGTGTTGCTGCATGTTAGCCAGCCAGGAGACCTGACCTAACGACTTCAGTGTGGGGTTGCGTGTTCTCTGGATGAACAGAAGCATGTTCTTCAGGGTAGAGTACATCCTGTTGATCTAAATATAGCTGGTTTGCTTTGTGCTATTAAACCTCGCTGCTGCTCTGCAGGTAGGTTATCTAACTGTAGATGCATCTGTGTTTTGGCTGGTGGGTTTGACTTGTCACCAAATGAAAAAGTTGACATTCCTTGTGGAGATGTTGGAGAAGTGTGTCTGTGTGCTCACTAAATAAAGTACGCTCTTCAGGATCAACATCTAGAAGCTGGTGAGGTTTGCTCTTGTTTGAGTTGTTTTTTTCTTGATTCTATAAAACAAACTGTCTATGATCTGATTTATTCTGCCTTCCATGGAGTCATGGCTGCCTTTACCAGAGGATGTGTTTGGTTGTATTTCATTTATCAGGCTAACTTCTCTCCACCAGTCCAGCTCCTGTTTGGTTACCTTTAATGAACACATCTTCCATCTGTTCTTTGCAGCACGCAAACAAGAAATCATCAAGATCACTGAACAGCTGATTGAGGCCATCAACAATGGAGACTTTGATGCATACGCGTGAGTTGTATGCCTTTTTTATGTTGTGCATTAGTTGTATTATTTGGAATTTGAAACAAGCCCTGCTGTTTTTGTTTGTTTTGATTTTTTTTTTTTTTTTTTTTTTTCAGTAAGATCTGCGATCCTGGACTTACTTCGTTTGAACCCGAGGCTTTGGGAAACCTAGTGGAGGGGATGGATTTCCACAGATTCTACTTTGAGAATCGTAAGATGTCAATAATGGTTTCCTTCTGCTCTTCTTCGCTATTATAGTGCTTAAAGACACAAAGACGTAGCTATATTCACCTCATTGGGCCTACTTTCTCTGTTTTATCAAAGCAGAAGCTTCTTTAGAAAGCATTTAAAGATAAAAAAAGGTTTACCCATATCTTTCAGATCTAAATTATATCTGTAGGTGGATATATGAGATGAGAATTTAGTGGATTTCATGTAATAGACCAACAAAAGGTAATGTGCTAAAAAAAAAAAAAAAAAAGTTGCATGAATTTGAACATATAATAGAATCATAAAAATAATTGCTTACATTTTAATTCTGCTTCCAATCTTTTCCAATTATCTTTTGCTGCATTTAGAGCTGCAAGGTTTTTGATCGTAAAAAAAAGTTTAAGTTTAGTCAGATTGAATGGAGCAAGTTTTGACCCAAATATCAGCTCCATTTGAGATACAATACTGTATATGATTTTTCAGGGCAATTGACATCACACATATCGATGCTCAACTATGTAACTTGAGAGGATAAGCGCTGTTGGTGAATGAGTCATGTGACCCAGAGTGCCACTTGATGGCAATCTAAGGTCCCCTTAAACCAACCAATCAGAATAGACATATAGTTGGTTCTCAGATGTAAGAGTCAGATTGCAAAACATGGGGAATACTGTTAATTTTTGCCAGTTTCTTTCAGAGGCACTAAAACCTGGAAGTTACAGTTCTAGAGCCCATTGTGGCTCCAAATTACACTGTTTCTTTAATAAGTGTTTCTAAATATACTAAGTTAGATTTATTACTGGATTTTGAGTGTACCATTCCAGCATAGGAATATGCTTTAATCATATATAATTAACTATTCTATTGTGGCTCTCGTTGTATATTTAGTTTTGTGTTACACCTTGTGAGTGAATCTCTGCTTAAAGTCTATTTCAGCCCCAGTAGCTTCATCTCCAATATTCCTTGATTTTTCTCCAACCATCTTCCCATCAACTCTGAGTTTTAATATCCTTGATGATGAGAGGGATTCCTGCTGCATGATCAGGCAACCAATATGTTTTCCTTTAGGGATGGTTTCATCAGAAAAGTTTACAGATTAATTCCATTCAGTTTATTTAAATAGTGCCAATTCACAACACGTCATCTCAAGGCACTTTGCAGTTCACCAGACCATATAGTCAAATTGATTCAAAGTTTTCTATCTAAGGAAAACCAGTTGATTGCATCGACTCAAATGCAATCCCTCACACTAAGCATGCTTAAGTGAGGGATGATTTTTTTCAGTACAAATGGGCCCCCATGTCTTTGGCTTTGCAGGGGGCACATCACTAGCACTATTGGCAGCCATGCTTCTGTTAACAGCTAGCTTGTAGGCCATCTGGATCGGGAACCAGGGAACTGGGAATATTCATTTCAATACAGAAACCCCATTTCTTCTAATACGACCGCATCTAAATAAACTCGCCATTCCACTCCCTCACCGGTGTCGTGCGTAGGTAGTTATCCCCACCAGAATTTGTATCCCCTCGCTGGGAGCACACACAGAGTAGGAGCTGATCAAGTTCGCTCCGCCTAATTCCACTACGCCAGAAAATGTTAAGCCCTGCAGTTCCAAACGAACAGATGATTGTATTCCTTTCTTGATAACAAACTTCTCACTCACCTGTAGTTATGTCATTTTCTGTATCGGGTGACGCTGTCACTTGCAAAAACTGCAGCTACAGAAACCCCAGAGAGCCAAAAATGCACTATTTAGGAAAAAAAAGAAGAAAAAAAATCTACTTTAATTTTCCTTTTAGGCCTAGTACAGCTTGTATGTTTTTCTACCAAAAAGCTGCATTTTGGGCCCTTTCCACCAGTCATGAGGCTAAAGCTTTTACAAGTTGCTACATGACTTGTGGCAGATTTTAAGAATCTGAGTCCTGGTAGGTTTGCAGTTGTTATATAGCTTTTGGAACGGAAATAGAGAGCATTAAGGTTTGTTGTTCTGATACAAAAACTAGTAAAAGTTAAAAAAGGGTATGAATTATTTTCCAGGACACTCTATATCTGTTTTTATTGCCCATCGCTTTTTCTGTTGATTTTACCCTAAGATAAATAAAAGTATCCTACTGATTACTAATTTATATATTTATTTGTTTTTCAGTTTTGGCTAAGAACAACAAGCCCATCCATACTACCATCCTGAACCCCCACGTCCACCTGATAGGGGAGGACGCCGCCTGCATCGCGTATATCCGGTTGACTCAGTTTGTTGACAACCAGGGCCGGCCGCGCTCCAGCCAGTCGGAGGAGACTCGTGTCTGGCATCGTAGAGACAGCAAGTGGCAGAACATCCACTTCCACTGCTCAGGCGCGCCAGCTGCGCCTCTCCAGTGAGGTAAGAGCCACCCAACTGGGAAACATGGCCACAGATGGTGCTCCTCCCAGAGCAGAGTTTCTAAGTAACACAGGAGAAAAAAAACTTCTATAAGGCCGATAAATAAATGTATTTCTTTATTATAGTATCTTCGCATTATATAAGACAAATCAAAAGTTTTTCATTTTAGTGAATATTAGAGAAAAAAAAACAAGCTAAGAAAATATAAAAAAAAAAAAGGAAGTTTTTTGGGGCTTTTTTTTGTTTTTTGTTTTTTTTACAAAAGGCCGGATCAGATCAGAGAGGACAGAAGAGGACACAACACCCGGACAGGGATAGATAGTAGCAGAAGTAGGATCTGCTGTGAAGTCCTTGTTTAACTTAAGAAAAAAATTGCAAGATCTATTTTCAGTCTCATCAAAGCAAGAAAGGAAAACTGAGTAATGTTTCAAAAGCCCAGTCATATTTGTATAATTCTTAATGAACAGGTTAGAATATTCATTATTTAAATTAAATTAACTGGAAAGACACCAGGTTAAAAAAAAAAAAAAATATGAAGGAATTAAGTCTTAATGTTTACCAGCTTCTCTTTATTAGTCATCTGAGGTCCGTTTCACAAAGTAGGTTTACCGAAAGCTCTAAGTTGTCTAAGTTTCACAAAGAGTTTATTCAACCTCTGTTTCAGTTGCTGTAGTGACATTTTCCCCACAGCTAACCTGGTCAGTAGCAGGTTTTCTTCAGTTTCCTCTGTCTCCGTTCTCCTTACCGCCAATCACGCAGTTTTATTTCCGGACTTAGTCAGATTTTTGTTGTAGTTTTGGGCATAAAAAAACATATCTTAGACTAGGTCTGTAAGACACATTAGGTTTTAAAAACAAACACTACATGTCCATTTGACAAGGATCTTATTAAAGAATGATCAGCACTTTTTCACAGAGAATTTAAAATTTATAGGGAGAGGATTTTACAACTCAGTTGACCGGGCATGAGATCACTTGTTTTTGGTTTGTTGAATATGAGCGAGATGCAGATTGTTCTATTTTTATTTATTTATATTTACAGTACATGAAGGACTGCTGAAATTATTTTCAGATTATACGTAAATAAAGTTGTTAATTCTGCGGAGGAAAAATAATTATTTTAGGGTTAGGAGTAGGATTCCCTCGATGATAACAACCTAATGAGCCCACTGGCACAATCTGAAGCCATTCTATTGGACTGATAGCTACTTATAACAGCCATTTATTGGGATTATAACATTAGAAGCGTGGCTGCAAACAGCCACTTTACTGTATAAAAGAAAACTGAATCAACATGAGGAGGGATCCATGAGATGATCAACAGGTTCTATATATTAGAACAATATTATTAGGATTCATTTTCATCACCTGCCAGAAGATTTCACCTTATTGATCCACTACCATTCAAGAAATAATCCATAATATTTTCAAGGTAATATATGTATGGCAAGCCCTTTTGATATATACTAGTTTTACTGAATTTGTATTCCTGATATCTAAAAAAAATTAATTTTTCTTTGTCTAAATAACCCATTTTAAACAAAATTACATTTTCCACATCTAGAATAAACATTCTGGATGTCTATAAATTACTTTCAGATCTCCATATTCCCAATATTACTGGTCAGTATTTGTATTATTTTAATTATGAAAAAAAAAATCAGATATCATAAATACATTTTCAGTCAAGCTGATAAATGTCGGAACGGCCACTTAAAATGTGTAAACATTTCTAATTCTTACTAGTATAATTTTGTTTTTTTACTTACTAAAATTCTGTTTCTGCTAAAAAAAACATAATTTAGAAAATATATTATTACAGTTCAGTCTAGAAGTGTGAATTTGATCAGGAAGAATCTTATTTTAGTGATCTATAAACGGAACAACAGAGAGGAGTGCTTTCAATAAATGTGAAAAGAGCCTGCCATAGCCCACATCATATAAACTTACGCATTAACTTGAGCATCAATATTCTCCTTTGCCACCTCCCTCTCCTTTGTAGCTGTAGTGCTGTTTCTCTGTCTTTTAAAAACATTCTCATTTTATCTGTTTGCATTCCTGCATTAAAATCTCTAATTCCATTGGCATGAAACAGGCACTTCCTGTTGTCTGTTGTCATGGTGACTCGTTGAATCGGTGCTCCAATGATAATGGCTTTTCATACATGTTGTGCATGCACTTAACTCTGAGTGGACCCAGTTAAAATTGATTTAACTAATTGATAGCAGCCGTTGTGAAACTGAACACTCAGAGTTCCCGACTTTGGACTAGATCAATTTAGAGTTACAGATTTGAATCTGAATTTGTTAAACCTGCTTCTTGAAACTGACCCCTGATCTCTTTTGGGGTTTTAACGCTGCAGTTGTGTCTGTCAGGAACGGTCTGCTAGAGAGAGGAGGAGGAGGAAGGGATGAAGGAACACATCCAGTGTTGATTTGGAGGACATGGCTCATCACGCCTCAACAAAACAATCCCTCTCTCACTGGACTCCATCCCCCAGCATGCACCTCTACTTCAACATCTATGACCCCGCCTCTGTCAGCATCCACAAAGTGAGCCTCTGACATCATCCGACACCGGCTTCACATCGCTCAGCATCTCTACTCCTCTAGCCTTCCTCGTCTTCATCTTCCTCTCTCCGGCTCACTGGGTGTTTGATTCGGTGTGACTCCTCTTTCGTGTGGTTTCTTTCCCACTCCCACAATATTTTTTGTGACACCATCCCTCTTGTCCTCCTTTGAATCTTCACCTGTGTGACATAAACACTGCACTGGAAATACAGTATGTAAAGTTTTAAGTCAAATCTATAATTATCATTACTATATTATGATTATTATTGTTACACATTTGCAACTGTATATGTAATTTGTATAACTCAGATTTCTTGATGCCAGTGGTTTTTAGAGTTAAAGGACTTTTTCTTTTGTTTTATCTTTTTAAGTAAGCATGTTTTATCTCCCATAATAACAGTGGCTGTTTTTGTTTTACTGTGGCTGTTCTGTTGAAAAGGGTTATTGGGCCGTTACTGCGGCGGAAGTTTCTGTTGTTTTTTAGCATTTTTATTTTTTTATCATGAAGTCTTTATTGTTGCCTGGTGGAAGGGGTGTTTCAAAATGCAGGCTATGATTTTACAGCTGGGGTGTGAAGTTAACACAGACTCATCACATGTATGGGTTTTATTTAGTTTAGGTTGAAACTCTTTAATTTAAAAATTTAATTTCCCTGTCTAATGTATCCAAAGAAACTTAGTTTGATTTGATTACTGTGGATTTTCTCTTAAGGCATACAGGGTTAACATTTTTCATAGACTCAAATTGGAACATGCAGCCCGAATACCTTTTAGTAAATGTCCCTAATATTGTTTACATTGATTAAAAGTTTTTCCTCCAGGGAATCCCGCCTCATGGATGTAGGTGCAGTTACAAACAACAAATTATTTGCATAAGATCATATAAAATAAAGACCACACAAGCAGGGATTCAGGAGTGCGTTTTACAGGGCTGAAGTAAAAGTAAAAGGGTATTTGCAGAAGTAATTCCTGCTGTATGGGATGAAAAAGAACATATACAGTTAGTCGCAGTAAAACGTCAGCCAATAGTTATGTCTAGGAAAGAGAGACAGAGGTAACCAGTGAAAGACAGGACCCAGTTGATCCTCTATAGAAGGAGAACATGTTGACAGCAGCAGCCTGCGCGTCCCTCCAGGAATGTGTCACAGTTGAACAGAATGCCTCATGTTCCTACTATGAAGAGAACAAAGCCAGGAGAGAACAAAGTTAACCTGAAATGACTACAGATAATTGAAAATTGGAGATTAGTAGGAGAATGTAGCTGAGTGAGGATTATGTGGTCATTATGTCCTCCAGCAGTCTAAGCCTATTCATTATACCTTTTAAAACTCAAGGTACCTTTCCTAAACCTAAATAAAGGAAAAGTTTATGTTAGGAAGACGTGGAGCAATAGATACTGGCATATGATAGAGCTTGATTACTGTGTTTCTGTGGAAGAGGAAGCTAATGAAGAGAAGCTAAAATAGAAGAATATGATCCCTTGCCGCAGTTCTTTGGTGTTCTGGTAGCCTCAGGTTGAGGGCAGGCTGCAGCCATAGTGTTTCCTCTGCTGTCTTAACCAGTTCTTTCATCTTAGGGTGACCTAAGGAATGTTTTCTCAGACACCGGCAAAGGACATGCTTATACCCATAAAACTTAGAGCTAAGGAACAACTATTTGAACAAACTGTTTCGGAATCTATGGTTTCAAAATTATTTGAAAACACTTTCCTTAAATATGATCCAGAATCTAAAGTTTTATTTTATAGACCTACGATAAATTCCTTAGACTTCCCCGATGTTCTTATCATTGCAAAATAGTCGTTTTTCAAAAAGAAATTGTTAGTCCCACCCTTAAATTGATCCTTATAACTGATCCGAGGTTAAGAAACCATAAAACTCGTTTGAACTGATATGTTGTCTATTTGTATTGACTGGCTGTGTGTATAAAAGAAAATCCAAACATTTTTTTATGTCAAACACAGGTCTGAACTGATGAGCGCAAGTAAATATTAGACCAGACTTGAACAGATGTGTTTGTGAGCACGGTCATGCAAAGTAGGGACGTAGCATTTACAGTCCACTCCGGGTAACTGAGCACAATCTAAGGAACCTGCTGCTCTTCCTCAGCTGCAGTGTTTGTGGCAGGAGAAAGTCTTTGCTGAAGCCTGAAGCACATAAACGGAGCAGGAAAGTTTATTTCCCATCTTGTTCTAACCTGAACTCAGGAGCTCTGATTCATGTCTTAAAAATGCATAAAGATGGACAACCTGAAGCAGTGGTGTAAAAATACACAAGCGGAGCATACAGTCTGCGGCTTTTCCCAATAATCTAATTTTAATAAGTAAGGTGTCGTGTTAGGAGAAAATGCTGCTGATAAACTCCCTCTGTTTATAGTTGGACCTAAAGCTCGGTGACTCATCTTAACCTGCTTGGTGCTTTTTATTCTCTGATCAGGCAGGGAGGCTCTGTCAGTGTCTCCTGTCGTTGCTTAGAGACAGATGAACACCTTCGCTAAGCTCAGCCCTCTTTCTTAAAAAGTTATTTTTAACCCTGCTACAGGTGCACTGCTGAATAGAACTCAACAGCAAGTTCTTATTGTTTAATTGAAAGTAGCAGAAAAACGTCAGAGGTCTGACTGTCTGATCCTTGTTGGTGTGAGACCTTTCCAATCTCTGAAGCCTTAGAGCAGAATGTCGGGGCTACTGCTGTTTTTTTCTCCAAATGAAGCACATTCAAAAACGTAGACTCCTACCTGCAGCAGTGATGAATCATGAAGGTTGTGTTTGCTTGGTGCTGCAGCCATGTTGGTCTTTTAATACAGTGTGCAATATGTTTGTATAAGCGTGTAGATTTATAGCTTTCTTTAAAACCCTGGGAGGGATTTCTGGAGGATTTTATGAGAGATGGAAGGCGAGGGTCTTCATCCCAGGACATTTTTTTATACTTTTTTTTTTATGCTTTTACTTAATTTGGTTTGGTTTGTGTACAGTGTTATTAGCCTTTTATAGCATAAAGTGCTTGTGCCAGAGGCAGCAGAGTAGAACAGATGGTCTTTGCAGCCCTGAAAACTGATTATTTGTTTTAGTGGAGGTGCAACTCTGGATCAGCTCCACTGTTTTTCGTCCACCATCGGCTGCCTTCGCGTTTTGTCTCACCGCTCGGTCTGAACACGAAACTCAGAGAGACCCAGCAGTTGGTTTGGTGAACAGTCCTCAGGTTTTTATTTATTTTGAGTATTTATTTATTTATTTTAGTAGATGTTTTTATTGTGCTTTATATTTCCTTATTCATTTGTTTTCCTATTCTGCAAGTCTTGCTTTTGTGCAAAAAGGAAACGTGTTCCATGTAAAACCTGCTCTTAAAGTGACGCACAGCACAGCAAATCTGGCCAACATGCAGTGAGGCAGTACAATGGAGTGCCAAAGGTTCCACAATGTAATAGAGATTTTTTTTATTATTATTTATAATAAAATTCAAGAAATGTACATGTATTCAGAATTATTCCATAAATAACTAATCCTATAAAAATTAAAATGTATAATTATGCCATAGAATAAATTTTAGTGTCGGTACGTAACATTAAAATTAGAAATGGTTGTTGGTATTTCTGAAAATATATACTTTTATCAAAATTGATAGATTTATTTAATTGAATATCAATACATTATTTTTTTAATAGCTAAAAGACATATATAACTAATTCAGTTATTTTCCTTTTGAATTGTGGCACATGTGGAGCTCCATAGTGTTTATTTGTTGTTGTTTTTTTAAAATAAATTGTATGTGGGACGCTTTAGGATTCATATTGTACAGGATTGTATTTTGTGTAAAATGTCCCTCAGATGCTTCATCAACACTTTCTTTATAAGATGGTGAATTTTGTCAGACGAAGCCTTTTTTTCACCACTGAGAGTTTGTATTGTACTCATGTCTCATCCAGTGAGGATGTCCATGTCTACTTTAACATGTTTTATTACTAAGAGGTCACTGTCCGAACATGACCCCTACCCTTCTCCAGATAAAAAGAAGAAATAGCAGCATGTACAGTACAAAGGTGATGTTCTCCTGTTCTTCTTAGTGTGTTTCTAGCCTTGAAAATCAATATAATAAGACTCATATTTAAAATGAGGGAGTACACAGTATTATAGCACTGCCACTAGCAGCGTAGCTTTCATCTTTGTGCATGACGGTCAAAAAGACTTTGGATTTTATTTTATTTTGTTTTTTTTGGTGTTTTTATTTGAGTTCTTGTTTTCTACTGAATGCTGGTAAACCTGATCTTTCTCTATTTTCTCAGCTTTTTAAGTGCATATAACTATTTTTGTCTCCAGATGATATAATAAAGAAAATTGATATGGTAAGGATTATTATATTCATGACTGGCACTAAGGATGACTATGATGAAGTGGACATTGATGATGATGATGTGTTGATACTTTTGCATGCTTCTCTATGGGTTCTCAGTGTTGTCAGTGCAGCTTCTGTCTCCTGGAGGGAGGAGGTCCAGTCGCAACAGGTTAAGCACAGCTTGACCTTTTATTTTTTTTGACAAACATGCTTTAAGTCCAGAAACTGGATCAGATAGACGATCCCATTCATTACAGCAACAGCAGTAATTGTAAACCAAACCTAAATTGTTTTTGTACTGGTTTGCTGAGATCAGTCTGAGCATCTACCATTTCCTCCCTGAAATACTGTCATCTTCTTCCTGCAGCAGAGACTAAGTTGTTCTGACAACACTTACGGTAGCTGGTTTCTCTTCCTAGGGAGTCTTTCTCTCTTTTTTTCCCCTGCTTCCTCTGTTTCTAACCTTTTTCAATCGTTTCTCAGCAATCAGCTCTTTCTAGTTTCCCTTTGTCTCTTTTTGTCAGTTTGACTTTCTTCTGTATAATATTACTCCTCTAGTTCTGATTCCTCAGATTATTGCTCTGTTCTCTTACGTGCTACACGTGTTTCTCTAACTTCAAGAAAATGTGTTAAGGTGTTATCAATAAAATGACAGTTTAAATAAAATATTCAGTGTCTTTGGTTTGTTTTTAATCAATGCACTGCAGAATAGATGCTTAATACTTGCTTTATTAAAATGATTATCTGTAACCGCTATACATGAACACGCTGGAACAAAACATGACTTAAAATGTGATGAACGGTTGTTAAATCTTTTGGTGTTCTCACAAATAAAAATTTAGACTTAACATACAAATGAGGAAAAAATAAATCCAGATAAACAGGAAATATATATAAGAAAAATATTGTTTCTAAAAATTAAGTGTGAGATTTAGATTATAATGTATATTTGAATTACTAAAAAGATAGAAAAACATGAAGATATAAGCTGTTGTTTAAAAGATTACATGGCGAAAAACATTTTATACAGTATAGTAAAGAATCAGTAACAACATAACAGCTCATTCATTAATACTTAACCCCATTTTCCACAGCAAAACATTAAAAATAAAAATGAAACA